GACTCCAAAAGCTAGTGTTCCAGCACAAGGCAAAAGCTGATTGCCTTTTCTAACTAACCTCAGAAGTCAGGCAGTGTCATGTCTGCTTTATTCTTTTGGTTAAAATGAATCACTAGCCCTCATATTCAAGGCATGGGGATGGCCTTCACCTCTCTATGGGAGGGTGTAGAAGAACATGTGGGGTGGGAGATGTTGTTGTAGCCATCTTTGGAAAATACAGGATGCCACAATCGTCTCTTCAGCGTCTGGCTCATAATATGTGCCAATAAATATTTATTGAGTGAGTATTAAGCACTATGGTAGATATTTTCACATACATTTATCTCACATAATGTTGTCACAGTCCAATGTGATGGGTGTTATCAACCTCTTATAACAGTTGAGAAAATTGAGACTTAAGTGTCCTGTCATATTTAAAAATTTTATCTATAGGGGAAGCATTTTAAGTATTGGCGAAGGGCCCCTGGGTGGCTCAGTTGGTTAAGCATCTGACTTCCATTCAGGTCATGATCTCACAGTTTGTGAGTTCTAGCCCTGCATTGGGCTTTTTGCTGACAGCTCAGAGCCCACTTTGGATCCTCTCTCTGGTCCCCCTCTCTCTGCCACTCCCCTGCTTGGTGTGTGCACTCACTCTCTCAAAAATAAATAAAATATTTTTTAAAAGAATTATTTGTGGTACTAAGGGCAGTGACTAGGCTTGGATGTTATTGATTTGCTTGGATTTGTTTTAGATGTTTATTCATCTTAGACAGAGCACGAGTGGGGGAGGAGCAGAGAGAGAGGAAGACACAGAAACGGAAGCAGGCTCCAGGCTCTAAGCCGTCAGCACAGAGCCTACCTCAGGCCTGGAACCCACGGACTGTGAGATCATGACTTGAGCTGAAGTCGGATGCTTAACCTACTGAGTTGCCCAGGTGCCCCGGATTTCTTAAAGGAGTATTTTTTTCATTTCTTATTGTTAGCATTATTTTAGGCTGTGTCATAAAACCGTAAACCTAACAGATTAGCTCTTTCTCATCATTGATTTAAACAAGATAATTTCAGGGACACCTGTGTAGCTCAGTCGGTTGAGCATCTGATTCTTGATTTCAGCTCAAGTCATGATTGGCTCAGGGTTGTGGATTCAAGCCCTGTGTTGGCCTCTGTGCTGAGCATGGAACCTGCTTAAGATTCTCTGTCTCTCAAATTAAAAAAAAAAACAAAACAACAAGATAATTTCAAGTTGTAAAAGTGCTGTAAAGAACGAAGATAGGTTTGAGGGGCGCCTGGGTGGCTCAGTCGGTTAAGTGTCCAACTTCAGCTCAGGTCATGATCTCACAGTTCGTGGGTCTGAGCCCCGCATCAGGCTCTGTGCTGACAGCTCAGAGCCTGGACCCTGCTTTGGATTCTGTGTCTCCCTCTCGCTCTGCTCCTCCCCACTCATGCTCTGTCTCTCTCTCTCAAAAATAAACATTGAAAAAAGTCATTTTAAATTTAAAAAAAAGAATAAAAATAGATTTGGGAAGGCATTATAGACTATATACTGTATTCATTCTAGGGAAAATTAAAATGGGAAAGTATAGTTAATCATGTGTAGGGAAGTGTATCGTTGATATTTAAGAGTATTTTGCATATTTTGTCAGTAAAGGTAAAATGTTTGGTGTAATACAGTTAGATAAACATATCTTAGAGACTTAAAAGATATGTAGAAATTATTGTATTTGTAAAGATTTTAAGTAATCTCTATATCCAACGTGGGGCTCAAACTTACAACCCCAAGATCAAGAGTCACATGCTCGAGTGACTGAGCCAGCCAGGTGCCCCTGGAAATTATTCTTTAATTTTTTTAAAGTTTATTTCTTTTATTTTGAGAGAGACAGAGACAGTGTGAGTGGGAGACAGGCAGAGAGAGAAGGGGAGAGAATCCGTGCTGTCAGCACAGAGCCCAACTTGGGGCTCGATTTCACGAACTGTGAGATCTTGATCTGAGCCGACATCAAGAGTCAGACACTTGACTGACTGAGCCACCCAGGCACCCCTGAATAGGGCACATTTTTGTCCTCGGGGAGCTTATAGTCTAGTGGGGATGGCAGATATATAATGAAGTAGTTAGAATATAGTGTGATAAGTGCTCTAATAGGTATGGCGTAGGTTCTGTTAGAACTTAGAAGGCAGGGATACCCTGCTAGCCTAGGTGGTATTAGGGAAGGCTTCATACAGGAGATGATAACTGAGCTGCTGTCTTGATGAGGAGTTAGGTAGATGAGGTCTGAGAAGAGCATTCTAGGCAGATGGAGGGCATACCAAAGAGCAAGGGGGAACTGCACAATGTTTCCTAAGGTTGAAAATAGTGAGTGTGGGAGAATGGTGAGAGATACAGGGGCCAGAACAAGAAGGGTCTTACCTGTCATTGCTAGAGTGTTGGAGTCAATCCTTAGGGGCTAGGAAAAGACTGAGAACTTTGGAACAAGGAGTAAGATTTCAGACAAGAGTATCCAATTACCTTTCAACATCACTTATTGACTAATAGGCATTTCAGATTTAACATGCCTCTAAACCCAGCTCCTAATTTCTCCCCCAACACCTATTTTTCCCCATCTCAGCGAATGACAACTTTATTCTTTGAGCTGCTTAGTCCAATCATCTTTGACTCCTTTCTCTCATACCCCACAGTCAATCCACCAGCAAATTCTGTTGTTTCTTCCTTTAAAATGTACCCAGAATTCACCCATTAATCACTACCTCCATTGCTAACGTCCTGGTCTGAGCCCACCATCACCTCTAGCCAGGATTACTGCAGTAGCCTCCTCACTAGTCCCTCTGCTTCCTCCCTTTCCCCTCAACAGTATATTCTCCACACAGCAGTGAGGAATCCTTCTAAAAGGTGAGATCCTGTTATTTCTGTTCTAAAGCTTCTAATGACTTCCGTGCTTAAAGTCCTACGTAGGGTCATAAAGCCCTGCAAGTCTGGCACCACTCTTCTTCCTCCACACTTGCCTCTTTTCTGTTCTTGAACTTTGCTTACTTATATTCTTGCCTCAGAGCCTTTACATTTTTAGTCTGTCTGCCTGGAACATTTTTCCCCAAGATATCCACATTGGTGGCTCCCTTACTTTGACGAAGGGTTCTGCTATGAGGTCTTCCCTAATCATCTTATATAAAATCACAGAACTTCTCAGGCTAGTTATATTCTCCTTACCTTTATTTTTTTTTTCATAGATTCACTACTGCCTGACATATATTTACTTATTTGTTAGTTTATTGTTTGTCTTTCTTTTCTACAGCATAACGGTAGGAATTTGGATTCCTCTGTTCACTGCTCTATCCTCTAGAAATAGAACATAAAGTAGAATTTTGTTGATCAGATGATTTGCATTTTTAAAGCTTCACCATGGTGGCCTTGTGGATAATGAATGGGAAAGGGGCAGGGCAGAATTAACACTCGAAATAGTCCAGTTAAGAGATTTGGGGCCTGGAGTCAAGAATTACTTAGGAGGAAGACCTAATGAGATCTGGTAACTCACTAGACAGGGAGAAGTGAAGGATAATGACTCCAGATTTCTGGTTTGGGTGGTTTGAGCGGATGATGTTGTTGTTAGGAATAAATGAAACCATGGGGTGAATGAAATAGACCAAAATGAGAATATGTAGTTAGGTGACCAACCATCCTGGTGTCCCCAGGACTGTCTGTCTGTTTTAACACTAAAAGTTCATGTCTCAGGAAACCCCTCAGATCCAGGCACACCCAGATCATTGGTCACTCTAATTTTTAGAGGGAAAAGATAGCTGACAACAGAACTCCAGCAGCATGGAGTAGGAGGAGATGGTCAAGTCTGTGCAGGAAATGGGGCAGAGGCAGTTGAAAGGGGTAGCAGGAGACTCAATGGGGCATGGGATCATGGAAGCTAAGAGAGCAGATGCTTCAAGAAGAGTGGTCAACAGTGTAGGTTGAGTTTCCTTTGGAATTTTTCAGTATTTAGCTGTCCTTGGCAGAAGTGTGACATATCAGAGGCACAGTAAATGTTTCTTGAAATAAAAGACACAAATGCTATGCCTCTGTTGTTGTTTTTGTTAAATTATTTTGTTAAACTAAGTTAAGGGGAGTTAACTTCGGATACTTGCTGGGACATAAAGATAAAAATTAGTTTAGGGATACTACTAAAAGCAACATTGGGGCATCTGGGTGGCTCAGTTTGTTAAGCATCTGACTTCAATTCAGGTCATGATTTCACAGTTCATGAGTTTGAGCCCCGCACCAGTCTCTGTGCTGACAGCTCAGAGCCTGCAGCCTGCTTAGGATTCTGTGTCTCGCTTTCTTTCTTCCCCTCCTCCATTCATGCTCTGTGTCTCTCTAAAAAATAAATAAACATTAAAATTAAAAAACATTAAAAGCGATTTTATTTCTACATTGAGTGGCAATTTCAGGTTAATGAATATTCTGAATACTGGGCAGTGTGAGTAAGCTGTTACATTCTGCAGTTCTGAAACAGCATTGCGTCTGAGCGAACATAAAATTTGAATTTCAGAATGAGACACTTATGATCATCTACATAGTGGTTCTTACTGTTTTAGAGTAATCCCTTTGAGAATCTATTAACCCTGAACTGTCTCCTTCCAAAAACACATGTGTATCTTGCTTTCAGTTTAGGGAGTGGAGGGTTAGAGATGGCCACAAGAATCCCAGGCTAAGAGTCACCGATTCCCCTCGTTTTATATCTTAGGGTTAAGAGGCCTAGAAAAATTAACTTATCCAGGATAGTTAGTGACTGAACTTTTTCTTGATTCATTGTTGTATCCACTGTGTTGTTGTTACTGTGCCAACTCCATACAAGTTGATCCAAACCTGTACGTCCTGTTTAAAGTCCATTTTTTTTTAACTCTCTGTCTATGAGATGGATCAAAATATTCTGTAAAAATTTGATGGACCATCAGATTTTATATATTTAACTCTTAAGTCATGAATTAAGAGTTGATGGGGTAAAAACTTACTAATAATGACTTGTGCCTTTTGTTTGGAACAGGATGCTGTATGATTATGTTGAAAGGAAGCGAAAGGAGAATTCAGGAGCCCAGCTGCATGTCACCTATTTAGTGTCTGGCAGTCTCATTCAGAATGGACATTCTGTAAGTTGTCAGAATCTTATGAGCTGGAGTATGTTTGAGTTATAAACCATGTTACATAACATAACACAAGGGAAAACAGTAGGATTCAGTATTACGGAAATTTTAAAGGGAAACTTCAAGATGCTGATTATTTTGGATTTTTAGACTGAACCTAAAACTCTAAGTTTGGGTAATATCTTGGCTGTGATGCAGAGAGAGTATCATGATTATTCAGTTTTCCTAGGCAACAAGATTAGGAGACTGCTCTGCTATTCCTTTCTTCCTCTTCAAAGTGTACTGGGGACAGTGATGGTTAATTTTCATCCTGTTCAGATGTCCAGCCACAACTTGGGTGTTCAGAAAGTCCAATTTTATTTATTTTTAAACTGAGTTTGATTTCAGTTTAAAATTTTGAAAAATTTCATTTTGGTAGGCTTATGTCTGAGTGGCTGAGGGACAGAGGTGTTAATAGGGGACTGAGCTAATGCAGTGCAGAAGCATAGGCCAGGAACACCTTTATTCTCCTGTATCTATCTATAGTCCCATCTGGTATCTGGTCATTCATCAGCACAGGTCACTGCTGTGTCTTTATCATCCAGAGCACAAAGCTTTTTCAGGTCTGCTGAGTTCTCTTAGCTACTTCCCTGTCCCTCTTGAGGGCTCAAGGATCATTCTATTACTGTCATGCCTGGATGAGGGCATCAGAAGCTCTGCTGAGATAACTCGTTCCTTCTTCTTCACTAGACTGATCCTTGGGAACTTTGATAATTTCTCCTCTCTGTCTTCCTCCCAAAAGTAAAGGACACCTTTTCTGTTCTCACTTCCCCAAATCTCGAATCTGAAAGTTCTTTTGCTTCCACTACCACCACCATCAGCTCCATAGAACTTAGCCCAAGGATTAGATTTCCTGCTCAGATATCCACTAATGTTTACGTTTTTCTCTTTCTTTTGACTTTCCCTTAGAGCCCTCAGCTCAGAAAAGCCTGATTTATCAATATATTGACTGGGGTCATCTTGTAGCAAGAGTCCCAAGCATGTGAAATTTAAAACTTGGGGCGCCTAGGTGGCTCAGTCGGTTGAGCATCCGACTTCGGCTCAGGTCATGATCTCGCAGTCTGTGAGTTCAAGCCCCGCGTTGGGCTCTGTGCTGACAGCTCGGAGCCTGGAGCCTGCTTCGAATTCTGTGTCTCCCTCTCTCTCTGCCTCTCCCAACTCATGCTCTGTCTCTGTCTCTGTCTCTCTCTCTCTCTCTCTCTCTCTCTCTGTCAAAAATAAACAAACATTAAAACTAGATTGGCAATTTAGTAATTTATAAGGAGAAACAACTGCTATGGGATCAGATCCTTATATTCTGTGACCAGCATATTCTTTCCTCATTGGTAAGCTATTTGGCAAGCCAGGTGATAACAAGGTGTTTATAAGTGTAGACAGAATCAGATGTCGTTATATATCAGAAACACAAAATTAAGCAGACCTGATTTATTTGCTTTCAGAAATAAACCTGCCACCCGAATCCTTTCCACACATAGCTTTAGAGTGAATACTGCCCAAGTTTGCATCTGAATGTCTTCTTTCCTTTTGTTTCTAGGTTTAACTAACCCCCCCTCTTTCTTTTCTTTTGTTTTTTCTATAAGGCAAAGCCCTTTATTTATTATTTTTTTAAATGCTTATTTTTTGAGAGAGAGACAGAGACAGAGTGCAAGCAGGGGAGGGGCACACAGAATCTGAAGCAGGCTCCAGCCTCTGAGGTGTCAGCACAGAGCCTGATGTGGGGCTTGAACCCACGAATTGCAAGAATATGACCTGAGCCAAAGTCAGACACTCAACTGACTGAGCCACCCAGGCACCCTGCCCCCCTCTCTTTCTTTAATTAGTTGTTGCCTTCAATCTAGTCATGTCAATTTTTTTTTATTTATCTTTTTATTTTAGAGAGCATGAGCGGGGGAGAAGGGCAGAGAGAGAGAGAATCTTAAGCAGGCTCCATGCTCAGCACGGAGCCCAACATGGGGCTAGATCCCATGACCCTGGGATCATGACGTGAGCCAAAGTCAAGAGTCGGATACTCAACTGACTGAGCCACCCAGGTGCCCCTAGTCTTACCATTTCTTTACCTTAGAATAATTGTGTTCCTTTTTTTTTTTTTATTATTACTATTTTAATGTTTATTTGTGAGAGAGAGACAGAGAGAGAGACAGAGTGTGAGCAGGGGAGGGGCAGAAAGAAAGGGAGACATAGAATCGGAAACAGGCTCCAGCCTCTGAGCTGTTAGCACAGACACCAATGCAGGGCTCAAACTCACAGACCATGAGATCATGACCTGAGCTGAAGTCGGATGTTTAACCGACTGAGCCACTCAGTCACCCCTTGTGTTCCTTTAAAGCAGTGGTTTTTATTCTTTTTTTTTGATCACTGATTCCTTTTAGAATCTGAAAGAAAAATATGTATGTTGACATATTCATAAAATTTTGAGTGAGATCATGACCTGAGCTGAAGTCAGATGCTTAACCTACTGAGCCACCCAGGCACCCCACCCCTGTGTCCATCTTAAGAGGAACCCACTGAGTGGGACGAGGTGGCCGAGTGGTTAAGGCGATGGACTGCTAAGAGGAACCCACTGAATCAGACCTCTACCCTGGTATGCATTGTTTACCATAAGCAAGTTGGCATTTCAACTGCCAGTATCCCCTCAGGCAGCATTTAGCCACACTGAACTCTCTAGGCCGTCCACATTTTCTCCTGAAGGTACCCATTTTTGTTTGTAGGGCCTTACTTAGAAAGTTGAGTAAGTTTGAGTGGTTAATTCCTAATGCTGCTTTTCTACTTAGCTGTATAATTTTTTTGGTACAGTTTTACAGAACCTAACATTTTTTGGAATGACTTTTTTTTTTTTTAAATGTTTGTTTATTTTTGAGAGAGTGAGCGAGAGAACAAGTTGGGGAGGGGCAGAGAGAGGGAGACACAGAATCTGAAGCAGGCTTCAGGCTCTGAGCTGTCAGCACAGAGCCCACCATGCGTCTCGAACCCAAGATCATGACCTGAGCCGAAGTTGGACACTTAACCAACTGGCACCCTGACCTTTGTTTTTTTAAGGAGAAAATGCATTATGAAAACATACTAATATACCCAGTTTATAAAAATTACACTTTTGAAAAAAAATTTAGTTGATTTTATACTGCTTTTTTCTCTTATGTTATATGAGTTTTGGTAGTTCCTAACATTCATAAATATGTTAAAATACTGAAAAATATTTGCTTTAGTAAAGCAAAACTATCTTTAATATGATTACCAAAAACAGGTTAAGATTTCTTTGCAGTTCCTTTTGTCTGTAGGATATATCTTACTAGGGATGCACAATCAGCTAGTATTTTATTTTTTTATTTTTTATTTTTATTAAAAGCTTATTTGTTTTGAGAGAGAGTGTGTGTGAACAGGGGAGGGGTGGAGAGAGAGAATCCAAAGCAGGCTCTGCACTTTTAGTGTAGAGCCCGAGGTGGGGCTTGATCTCACAAACTGAGATTATGACCTGAGCCAAACTCAAGAGTCAGGTGCTTAACCAACTGAGCCACCCAGGCACCCCAATCAGCCTGTGTTTTAGAGTCACTTGCAATAACTCCTCTCTGTGGATAAGCCACCAATTAAGTATCTAGTTAAATTCAAATTTTTCCCACTTTCAATTTTTAGGTTCCCTACTTTTCCTTACAGGTAATTATTTTAATAGATTCTGCTTCTATTCCGTTGTTGTTGTATATATTTTTAATATATGCAAATATATATTCTATTACTCCCCCCTCCCTTTTTTTTAAGAGAGAGAGTGCAAGTGAGGGGGGAGAGGGGCAGAGGGAGAGAGAATCTTAAGCAAGCTCCACGTTCAGTGCGGAGCCTGACATGGAGCTTGATCCCACAACCTTGGAATCACAGCCTGAGCTGAAATCGAGTTGGATGCTCAACTGACTGAGTCACTTAGGTGCCCCTTTATTACTCCCTTTCTTAGATAAAAGTTTTCATACTATACTCCCTATTTTACATTTTGCTTTTTTACCTACAGTAGATCCTGAACATTATTCCATAGCAGTTATAGAAATATTCCTTTTTTTTTTTTAGTTTATTTATTTACTTAAGCAATCTATACACCCAACATGAGGCTTGAACTCATGACCTGGAGACCCAGAGTCACATGCTCTTTCAACTGAGCCAGTCGGGCGCCCCAAAATATTCCTCATTCCTTATTACAGCCACCTGATGCTACATTGATAATACTTTAGGTTTTTCAACAGTCCCTTATTGATAGTTTTTGGAGTTATTTACAATACATGGCCTTTACAAATTGTGCTATAGTTAACGTGTGTTTTTTTTTTTTTAATATTTTTGCCACTTTTAAGGTTGCGTTTCCTAGGATTGTTAGGATGCGTATGTACTTTTGTTGGGTAATTGCCAAATAGTTCTCCATTTTTCATTCCTACCAGTAATGTATGAGAGTCCCTTTTCTATATAATGCATGTTGTCATATGTTTCGGGGTCATTTGTGTTTCTTTTCCTATGAATTGTCTTCATACCTCTTGCCTATTTTTTCTAAAGGAGTTTATTTCCTCTATTTTAGAAGCTATATATTAACCCTTTGTGATATGAGTTGCAGGTATTTTTCCCACTTTATCATTTCTCTTTGTACTTTGGCTTAAAGTTTATTTTTGTCATCTAAAAATTGTACATTTGTTTTTATAGATTATTTAAATTCTTCTTATTGTTTATAGTTAGGAAACTTTTCCTCATTCTCATATCACTGTATAGTAGAATTTATCTGTTTATAGAAGAATTCACCCATATTTTCTACTAGTATATGTATGGTTTTATTCTTTACACTTAAATCTCTGCTTGGTTTAGAATTTATTCTAATCTGTGAGAGACAGATGCAATTTTTATTTGGTTCCATATGATTATATATTAATTCTCTTTACAAAACTTACTAAGAGGTTCTTTTACTCACACTATTTGAGATGCTGTGTTCATTTTCTTGTGTTTATTTTTCACTGTTTTAAAATTTAGTTTTATTCAAAGGGGCACCTGGGTGGCTCTGTTGGTTAAGCGTCCAACTCTTGATTTTGACTTAGGTCATGATCTCACAGTTCATGAGATTGAGCCCCACATCGGGCTCTGTGCTGACATCATGAATTCTGCTTGGGATTCTCTCTCTCCCCTGTCTCTGTCCCTCCCTGGCTCGTACTGTCTCTATCTCAAAAATAAATATACTTAAAAAAAATGGAGTTTTATTCTAATACGTTAATACTAATGCATGTCTGATAACCTAGTGATAATTCATAAGTTTAAGAGTTCACAGCATTTTTAGAAAGCACATAATGTTAACATTCAAATAAGGCGTTATAGAAAATTTTGTGAAGAATGAAATGTTTACTATAATCCTTAAAAGCCTTGGTCCATTTTGAAAGATCAACATTGAAGTTTTAAAAATCAGAAGAAAGGAAAGTAAGTTTTTTTCCTCCACAAAATACATAAGAACCACTTGCTGGCATTTGTATTTTGAGTGCCTGGAATAAAATGGGCTACATTTTCAAAGGCAGTTAATAACAGCTTGTACAAGGACTTGTTCCATTTGATTTAGCACCAAGTACATTAAGAGTAAATACACCATTCAAGAGTCATGTTTCTCCTCTAGCTCTCATATGCCCCACAGGACGTAAGCAAGCATCCTTGTTACCCCACTAAGGGATCAAATCATTTTCATTTTAATATGGCAACTCAGATTATACTCACCGGTAGAGTTTCTTCCTGCCAAATAACAGTGGCCATAACTATGGCAGTGAATGCTAGCAGGTGTCAACTTCTTTGATTAGGAATAAAGAACTCAGCAAACTCAGTTATTTTTTGGTCTTTTTCAGCCTGTCATGTAAATGCTTTTAATTGCTATAGCTGTTTACTAATTATGATTGTTATATATATCAAGGGAATTTTCCTCAAGCATACGTGATCTATTTCTTGTGCCATGGGTTTTCTTTTATTCTTCTTCTTGTAATTAATTTATTAATTACAAGGCAGATCTTACGTTTTGATTACAAAGCAAACTAGCAAGTAGGTCCTAAAGCACAAATTTTTAAACTCAATAACATTTGAAAACATAAGACTTTACTTACATTTTCTGTTGAAAATTCAGCTTTGGTGTTTTTGCAAGAACTTCTGTCTGTTTCTGATGTAAATCATCTCTCGGTGCACATGTATTTTCAAAAGAACAGTCTTAGGAAAATGAACTTTCTTATGTGCTAATTAATACTTTTTTTAGTAAATTGAAAATTCGAGTAAACTGAAGGTATGTTTAATGACAAAATAAATACAGCATATGTGACTAGTTTATAAGTGTCTTAGCGTATAGGTAGCAGTGAATTTGCATCCTGGAACTAATCTGTAAATCCAGTTTTTTTTTTTTTTTGGAATTTTTTAAAAATAATATTTCAAAAAACCATAATACACCACAATGCTGAAGATTTTTTTTTTTTTTGCATCAGTCTATGCAAAAGCCCCTTATAAGATACTTTCCCCAAATAATATGGAATTTTTTTGTTTCTTTTCCATAAAGTAAGGAAACTTTATCAACCACTTATTCTTCTGAACAAATGTTAGGTTACTACCAATTGCTTTTTTAATTTGCTCTAAAAGATTTTTTTTTAGGGCCACCTCGGTGGCTCAATCAGTTAAGCATCCGACTCTTGATTTTGGCTCAGGTCTTGATCTCATGGTTTGTGGGTTCAAGCCCCACTTCTGGCTCCGTGTTGACAATGTGGAGCCTGCCTGGTATCCTCTCTCTCTGCCCTTCCCCACCTCATGCATGGGTGCTTTGTTTCTCTCTCTCAAAAATAAATAAACTTAAAAAAACATTAAAAACGTTTTTTTTTTAAGTTTAGACATTTCTGATGTTTTTCAATTGCACACCCACAGATTACTGGATAAAACACTAGATAATTTCAAAAGATGAATCTTTATATTTCACTCATTTGACACATCCTTAATTTCCAGATAAAATCAGTAGAAATGAAACTAATAGAATTCTCAAAGAATTCATACATGCCAGTCTTAGGATAAGGAGCTTCTAAATGCATGGACGAGGAGCTTCTGCTCATCTTACTAGGTAAATGTGGTTTTCCTCATGAAGTAACTGATGCTTTCTGGTTCATTTGTGGAACTTTTGTTTGTAGGGAAACATATACATAGGGCCAGATCTTATCAGTTTCTGTTGTGGAGAATGTATCCTACACCCCTTTTGTCTGGTAGTTAATATTCCAGGACCAGTTCTGTTTGGGTTTTGTAAGCCTTCCATCTCTTGAGAACCATTTCTGGTCTGTTATTCTCACACTGGATGATAGGTGCTCCAGTCAGATCATCACGGTTTTGGGAGGGATGAATTTGATGTTGTAGGCCGGGTGGCTAGGTGGATGAATTTAGCAAGGAGTGAGGTGTTGTTTAATGACCTCAAAGGGCATGTTCAGATTAATCACCATGTCTATCTGATAAACGATCCAGGGCTTCTGCTTATGGAAGTGTCCTTGGAAAACTATCTAATACCCAGCTATGTTGGGTGAGATTTTTCAGTTCACGAAGGGCCAAGCTGAGTCATGACATTGTCTGAAATGAGCTTCCCTTGTTTAGTGAAAGTCTTGGCTAACCAATTTCTGTGTCCCAAGCCCATTGTCTCAGAGTGGGTCCCTGTGGGAGAGGGGCTTCAGCTCAAAGTATTTTGTGATGTGTGATGACACACCTTGCCCGAGCTCGGTGCCACCATGATCACTGCGTTCAGGAGGCCCGGGCTGCACAGAAAGAGGGCTTTGGCCTGGTTGCACACTCACCCTGTTCTGTGGTTTGGGACCTGTGGGCTGGCAGCACTGTGAGCTGAGGGCTGCCATTTGTTTGGTTTTTCATTGTATTGTTGATATGTATATTCTGTCACTTTCCTTAACCCGATGAAGTTTTAAAGTAAACAGCTTAAGTTAAAAAATAAGCCTGACTTTATGAAACTGTAATACAGATTTTTATGGGTACCTAATGTTCGTAATTTCACATCAAGGTGCAATTGAATTATCAGCAAAGAAACTTTCAAATTGGAAGTTGTACTACTACTTTAAACACTAATGAGATGTTATTTCCTTACAGTGCCACAAGGTTGCAGTAGTGAGAGAAGATAAATTGGAAGGTAAGTGTTTTAGCAACTTAGCAAGATTTTCTTCTTTTGGGATCAATGTAGGTACAGAAAAAATCTGCCCCTAGCATCTGCGTACAGTATATTTAGCTATTTAACTGAAGAGCTGAATATTCCTTTTATTAGTACTTTCTGAAACATGTTAAAATAGGATACCACATCTGCCTAACTTCCCATTTTTAAGACCAGTAGCTGCTGACATTTATAAAGCACTTTTATCACAGGATTTCAAAGCTCATGTGATTCTTGCAAAAAAACTATCATAAATAACATGTGGAACACCTCATCAACTGTAAATAGACAGTCTCTAAATACTGTTTTGTGTTCCAGAACAGTTTTTTAGGAAGAAAATTAAAGATTGCTTTTCCAAAGTCAGAAAGACTTAATAGAACTTCTAAATTAAATTTATCTTCCCATTTCAAAATTATTAATGCTATGGTTCTATTTAAAAATCCATTTCAAAGGAATTTTATGACAGGGTCCACATGATCTGGACCTTTGTCTCAAGACAAAACTTGTACTGTTGTACTTCCTATACAACACCACCAGTGGTGTCATTTTCTTACAGAAGAACTCTGAGGTATTTAGGGTGGTGGAGATGTCCACTTTTTTCTTTGTGAATTCCCACCGTGGTAGGTGAAGTGAGATTTATTCATTCAGTAGATACATCATGAGTATTTATACTCTGTCAGGCTCTGTGCTACGTGCTGGAGACTCAAGCACATTCCCTCTCTTCGTGGAATCTAACATTTGTTCTTGTGATGTTCTTCTGTGTTTCTCCTCTGCAGACTTATCTGGTTAGTATTTTTGTTATAGAGTTGCTTTGTCTGCACAAAAATTGAATTACATAATTGAGTCTTCTCAGGTAGAAATTATTCTTCAGTTATATGCTAAAGATTCTTCCCTGACTGAAAAAAAAAAAACCCAAAACATCATAGTCATCATCAATCATTCATTAATGTTTACCGAACGTCCACTGGATGAGTGATACCCTCACAGGTGTGGTACTTAGGACTGACTCACCACTACCTACCTTGTCATTATGTCCCCGTTATAGAAAAAAGAGTTGATGTTGTACTGTGTCTGTGACCCTTTGGCATTTTAGGGCTTTTTGGACCACCACAGATTGCAAATGGTTTTAATGCAGAAGGGTTTCTTGTTAAAGTCCCCACATGCTATGAAGTTTGTGTATTAACAGACTGCTTTTCCTGTTGACTTGTAGCAGTGAAGTCCAAGCTAGCTGTGACTGCCAGCATCCATGTGTACAGCATCCAGAAAGCCATGCTAAAGGACAGTGGGCCTCTGTTCAATACCGACTATGACATCCTTAAAAGCAACTTGCAGAACTGCAGCAAGTGAGCTCCTTAATGTTCCTTGTGGGCTTCTTTACGAATTGATTTTGTAAGATGTTTACACAGTGGCTGCCTCTTAAGAGTGAATGCCAAGTCTAGTAAAACCCCATTTATCTTGCAGTAAGACACATGCCTGGTTTTATTAGTACATCATAAGGTGAAAAATAGCAGCCACAACCCATATTGAAAACCCCAGTGGACTCCCCATAAATCTATTTCTCATGTATTTATCCTGTCACCGCCACCAGAAATGTTTGTTGTGCCCCCTCATTACTCCCTTACCCCAGTCTCTGCTTGTCTGAATCCTACCCATTTTTCAGGAACCAGTGTAAACGTCCTTCAAAAACTATTTCTAATTTGTTATCCCTCTACCTTCCATCCAAAAGCAGTTGATCTTCACAGCCAGGATCACATCTTGTTTGTTTTTGTACTTTATATCGTATTCAGTGAGGTGATGGACCATAATGCACAGGCTTGTGTTGTGGCTTTGCTGCTTAATAGCCTGGTGGTTTGGGGCCAATTACTTAAACTCTTTGAGTTTTGGCTTTTTCATTTTTAAATTAAATTCATTTTAAAACTTTTTTTTTTTTTTTCAACGTTTATTTATTTTTGGGACAGAGAGAGACAGAGCATGAGCGGGGGAGGGGCAGAGAGAGAGGGAGACACAGAATCAGAAACAGGCTCCAGGCTCTGAGCCATCAGCCCAGAGCCTGACGCAGGGCTCGAACTCACGGACCGCGAGATCGTGACCTGGCTGAAGTCGGACGCTTAACCAACTGCGCCACCCAGGCGCCCCTAAAACTTTTAAATAGTAATACCTACTTTGTGGGGTTGTATTAAGAGTTCAAATCAGTTCCCCAGACATATTAAGCACCTACTACTTTGATAGGTACTAAGTGAGATCATTTGAATTCATTCCACAAAGTTCTGATGAGTACCTATGACATGCCACACACTGTAGAGTGAATATGGCCCAGTACCTGCTTATGGAACTGATGGTCCTATGGTAAACACTTACATTATAGCGTGACAGTGCTGTAATAGTAATACTGAGGGAGGCTATTTGGGGGGCATTTGTGGGAAATCAAATAGCTAGGGCCTGTATTAGGAGATTATAGGGAACGCATTGCAAAGCAGAACACTGCTTTCTGGCCTGCTCTTCTCATAGCCCTCTGAGTGATCTCCACTGTAGTGGCCTCCTCAAGACGTCATGAACAATGACTGATTACCCTCCTCAACTCCCATGAGCAAGAAGATTCTTCAAACAAAAAAGGGGGATAGGTGGGAAATCAAATAGCTATGTCCTGGGTTAGGAGAATGCATGCTTTCCTTATAATCGCCTAACCCAGGACATAGCTATTTGATTTCCCACAGACACTCATCCCTCACTTTTAGGTGGGGTGGAGTGATGAGGCAAAAGAGAGAAGGCTTCCTAGAGGGTGTGACATTTAAGTCAAGGCCTTAAGGCCCAAGTAGAAGTAGCCAGTAAAAGGAGAAGTAGAAGAGTGAGGACAGAACTGTGAGGAAACATGGTGCTTGTGTGGAACCAAAGTCATTTTCTATGGCTGGACTTAGACTGAGAGGTAGGACTTAGACTGAAATATAAGACTAAAGTAGGACTCACAGTCTACACTTTGACTAGTAGGTTAAAGAGTTTCGACTTTATTCTGAGGGCACTGGGGAGCCACTGAAGATTTTGAAGCAGATGGGTGAAATGATCAGAGCTGCATTTATAGAAAGATCACTTGGGGCACCCAGGTGCTCAGTCAATTAAGTGTCCAACTCTTGATTTTGGCTCAGGTCATGATCTCATGGTTTGTAGGATCAAGCCCCACATCAGGCTGTGTGCTGAAAGCGCAGAGCCTGCTTGGGATTCTCTTTTTCCCTCTCTCTCTGTTCCTCTCCTGCTTGTACTTGTTTTCTTCCTCTCATTCAAAAATAAATATTAAAAAAAAAAAAAGATCACTTGGCTGCAATAAGACGGTGAACATTGATCAGAAGGGAATAATCGGGAGACAAAGCCATCAGTGAAGAGAGATGTTGCAGTGATTCAGGGTGGAGATGACAGTTATCTGAAGTATAGTAGTTGTATTGAGGGTGAAGAGGTATGAAGGTTAAAGAGTCATGCTGTCAAAACCTGGATGTTGTCACACTTGGAGACCAGGTGTGTGTGTGTGGCCGGGTGGGGGTGTTCATGATGTTAAGGATGATAACCATATATCTGACTTGGTGGCTGAATTGGGTGATGGTGTTATCAGTAAGAAAGGGAATATGTGGGGAGGAGTAAGCTTGCGGGGAGAAGGAAAAATGGTGAATTGGGTTTGGACATGTTGAGTTTGAGAAGCCTGTGGGGAGTCCAAGTGAAGATGTCCATGCAATAGACAGATGAGTCTAGAGCTAAGGAGAGAAATCTGGCATGAAGATAGAGATTTCGGAATCAGAGAAAATAGGTAATTAATTGGGACACAGCAGTAGATACAGTCATTCACAGAGAATGCATAGAATGAAGGAGGGCAGAAAGTAAAACTCGAGGCCATGGTTACTAGCTGTATAACCTTAAGCAAATTATTGAACCTCTCTGTGCCTCTGTCTCCTCATCAGTAAAATGAAGCTAACAACGGTACAAAGCTCAACAGGTTATTGAGGGGTAAATGAATGAATATATATAAAACACTTAGAATAGTGTTTGGTACGTAGTAAGCGCTATTTAAAGATAGCCACTTTTCAAGGGATGGTCAAGAGAAGAGGAGCCTAAGTGGGAGCAGCCAGAGATGAGGGGAAAATCACGAGAATATAGGGGGTTCTAAAAGCAAGGAAAGAGTTTTAAGAGGTAGGGACTGATTGGCAATATCATATCTTACTGAGAAGCAAAGTAGAATAGGAACTGAAAAGTGTCCATTGGATTTAGTGATGGCCTTGGTAAGAGGCTTTTCCATGGAGTGGCCAGAATCTGGTGAACTGAGTAAATGGGAGCATGATAAAGTGGGACAGCAAAAATGGACAAGTCTTTTCAGGAAATTGGACTGTAAAATGGAGAAAGAGAGAGGTAGCTAAAGAGGATTTGAGACTGAGAGAGAATATATACATTGTTGAGAATGCCCTGAACTTGTACTATTCAGAAAGAGCCATAAGAGAAGAAATGGTTGAAGCTACTGGGGGAGATGGGGTAACTGATACAGCCAGGTCCTTGAGGAGAAATAGAGACTTGCCAAACATAGTTTCTGTAAGTTCCATGAGAACAGGGATTGTGTCTATTTTGTGACCAAAAAATGGTGCCTGGCAAATGGTAAGCATTTAGTAAGTAACTGTTGAGTGAATTGATGATAGATAGACATTAGTTCTTTTACTCTACCGCTCAAACCTTAATAGGCACACAAATATTTATTAAATAAATAACTATAATTCTATAGCTAGAGTAATAAGTGGTGGGGTTTTTAAAAATTTTTTAGTGTTTATTTTTGAAAGAGAGACAGAGCATGAGTGGGGGAGGGGCAGAGAGAGAGGGAGACACAGAATCCGAAGCAGGCTCCAGGCTCTGAGCTGTCAGCACAAAGCCTGATGCAGGGCCTGAAGCCACAAATTGTGAGATCATGACCTGAGTCGTGATCCGAAGTTGGATGCTTAACCAACTGAGCCACCCAGGCACCCTGATAAGTGGTGTTTCTTAGGGAAGGACTATAAGAAAAGATGAATATCCTGATAGGTTTATGTAAATTCTACTATTAGATTTCAAAAATAATCTGTATTAAAATCTAGTTGTGGCATGTCAAGCTCTAAAAATCAGTTCTTCTATTGTATCTGAGTAGACAAACAGGAATAAAGGGGACTCAGAAGTTCAAAATGGTGTTTACTCAGGGACCACTAAAGTAAACATGGCAAAGTAGAAATGTGGTAATAGGAAGCACTTTAATGAAACCTTACTTAAATACTTAAAGTATAATGGGTAGAAATGTGAAGAATTTATCTCCAATAAAGAAGTTTGTAATTGCCCTTGAGAATTATGGGCCAACTGAAATCTGACTCATTGTTTCGTGTGTTTTAAGAAGTGCTGTGACAGGAAGAAAGTTGAAATTTTAGGACTGAGCAGATTCTTCTCTCTTCGGACATGTTCCCAGCCTAACTTGGTCTCTTCCTTATTGCCAGTTCTGGTCCTGACCCTAAGGTGTGGAATGTAGACCAAATGGAGAAAGAGTTGTTTCAGGGCCAACTTCAGATGTTGACAATGAAATAAACCATTGCTTTTTTCTGTGTACATGAAAGCACTGCAAGGCCAGAGAGGAAGACTAGTGGGTATAAGGAAATGATTTCCGTCTGTTCTTAACTCTGATGCACAAAATATTTGTGTTAGTGTGGGGTTTTCTGAAGTGGACTCTAATAAATCAGGGGAAGATTTTGGAGCTATAGACTCAGCTTTGGGGCTGCTCAGTCTAAGGTTACTTCTGAAATTAAATGATGTATCAGGGACTTTTTTCTTAGGCCAGTTAATCTAGAAGTTGTGCCTGGTTGATCTCTCGAATGATTACTATTACCACATAGTTTCTTTCTTAACTTTTCCCACCTCAAGTGGAGGTGATACATTAAAGAAGGGAGAGAAACCAGAAGCCTCACTTCCAGGGACTTCAGTTCTCATTCTTTCACACGTATTTCTATGTGCCAGGCCTTGTACTGGGTACCTAAAATACAAAAGATGAATAGTACCCTTCCCTACCTCCAAGGAGCTCTCACCTACTCCCAGTAAGCTAAAGACTGGGGGAAATAAAATGTTTTTCTTTGTCAGAAAAGTTGAGGAACTTTGCTTTAAGCACAACTGGGATTTGTGTGAACAAGGCACATCTACGATGATTATAGAAGAGATGAATGCTCCCTTTAATATGCCATGCATACCATTCCACATTTCTTCACTTGGCTTTGGGCATACTTGTCTGGTGCTGTTAGTGGGTGTTATTAGAAATTTTTAACAAATGACAATAAAGGACCACAGGTCATAGGAGCCAGTGGCTCTGTTCCCAGCTTCTTCCTTGTTTTAAAGCATGACCCACTCTGGCCAGGAGAGTTGCCAGGAATTTTATTTTATTTTATTTTTTTTTTAATTTTTTTTTTCAACGTTTATTTATTTTTGGGATAGAGAGAGACAAAGCATGAAAGGGGGAGGGTCAGAGAGAGAGGGAGACACAGAATCAGAAACAGGCTCCAGGCTCTGAGCCATCAGCCCAGAGCCTGACGCGGGGCTCGAACTCACGGACCGCGAGACCGTGACCTGGCTGAAGTCGGACGCCCAACCGACTGCGCCACCCAGGCGCCCCTACCAGGAATTTTATTAATATTTAAAGCTCGTAACTTTGGTTCAGTCAATATTTATTGCATACGTAGCTCTGTAAGGTGAAGGTCTTTAAACACAAGAGATAACCATTTGATTTCCCAAGGATGTTGACATTACTAATCTTTTGTTATTTTTTGGTATATTCTTACTGTTTTGAATTGGGGTGCTTTCTTCAAAAAAGTAAGATGTTCAATATGGTATGGTAGAAGACCTCAGATTCCAGTCCTAGTTCTGTTACTGACTAGATGTATAATCTAGGACAAGTCTCTCAACATCTCTCCAATACTTTTTTCTCTATCTAAATTAGAGTTTTTATTTATTTTTGAGAGAGAGCAAGCAAGGGAAGGACAGAGAGAGAGGGAGACAGGAGACAGAATCCCAGGCAGGCTCCACACTGCCAGCACAGAGCCCGTGGCCAGGCTCAAACTCACGAACAGTGAGATCATGACCTGAGCCGAAATTAAGAGTCAGACGCTTAACCGACCGAGCCACCCAGCCACCCCTGCACAAAATAATTTCTAAAATCCATTTTAGTTCTAAACTTTTCTAATTTAATAGTGTTAGAAGTAGAAAGTATTGTGTGGAAGAAGCAAGACTTTGAAATTAATGTAACATTTCCAACTTCAGGTTTAGTGCCATACAATGTGCAGCTGCAGTTCCCAGAGCTCCTGCTGAATCCTCATCTTCCGAAAAGTTTGAGCAGTCAGATCTTCAAGTATCAAGTGAGACACAAGCCAATAATGAGTTGACAACCAATGGTCATAGTCCACCTACCTCCAAACAGATTTTACAGCAGCCCAAGGGAATAATGGGAATGTTTGCCTCTAAAGCTGCTTCTAAAACCCAAGAAGCCAACAAGGAAACCAAAACAGAGGCTAAAGAGGTAACAAATATAAGTTTAAAGATGTCTTTATAGCTCAGAATGGGTAACTAGAAGAGCATTGTAGTTTAATCACATAAGGTTCCAATATATAATAATATAGTCTAGTTTTTCCATTGTGGTCTGAATCCTTTAATTCTTGATATTCTCATCTGAAATTGTCCTTTTTCTTTTGAAAATGCTTCTCACCAAGCTTTGGATTCTTCTGTAAAATGGTCCTGTGCACATCACAAGATTCTTTTGCAAGCCAATTGAAATCATGCATGTGAGAACACTTGAAAACCATAAAGTGCCAGGAATCGTGTATTAGCAATATGTCATTTTGGGAACATCTTATATTCTGAGCTTTGCCATGTATGCCTTTCTTCCTAGTGTATTTAACATTCTCATTCTGTTTTATGAATTTTGCGTGTTTTTTTCTTCATCTGCTTCCCTTATTTATTGTTCACACATCTGAACTAAAGTGCATTGACTTAAGAAAAGTCTCATTAAAAACTATTAAAAAATACTCCAGAAAAGCATAATTATTGTTATTTTTTAAAGTTTAGTTATTTTTGAGAGAGAAAATGAGTCAGGGAGGGGCAGAGAGGGGGACAGAGGATCAGAAGTGGCCTCAGCAGAGACCCTGATGCGGGGCTCAAAGTCACGAACCAGGAGATCGTGACCTGAGCTAAAGTCAGACGCTTAACCAACTGAGCCACCCAGGCACCCCATAATTATCGTTATTATTGTTATTACCATCGTGATTTTTGGCCTCTGCTTTGGAAAAGGAGAGGGGAGTGGAGGGAAACCCCCTAACATTTATAGAACTACTGTGTGCCAGTAGTTTGATCTTTGCTTAAATCCTCCTAATTATTCTGTGAGGAAGAGATCTCCGTTTGTAGGTGGTGAAACTAAGGGCTAATTGCCTGGATATCAGATTGCTATTACATGGCACAACCAGAATTCAAATCCACTTCTGATAATAACAAATGTAACATTTTGGAGGTTCCCTTGTTGTGTATCATACTGCCTCTGATCTGTTTTAATTCTATCAAACTAAGCAGTTTTTAAGTATACTCAAAGTTTAGACACATTCATGGGTAATAATTCTGTAAGAACTATGAGTAACTAAGCTTTGGAGATTAACATCAGATACTCTGGTGTGGATTTGTTCTTATATCTCACGCTGACACATTTTGGCATGATTATGTAGGGACTGTGCCATCGTGACAATGTGCCCTGCAATTGAAGAGATTGTTTAAGACTCCGACTTGAAGAACAGCCTAGACACTAAAAAAAATCATATGTGTTTTCTGCTTCTAGGTATCTTCTGCAGGCAATAAGGCACCAGGGAAAGGGAATGTGATGAACAATTTTTTTGGAAAAGCTGCTATGAGTAAGTATGTTTTTACCTTCCTTTGATTAATACATGAATGGTAATATAATAACATATTTGAGGTGAAAGCCACCTTACCCAGTTTTTACCCATCTGGTGTCCCATGTAGACTTGCTGCATCCTAACATAAATTTGCAGTCTACTGACCAATATATTGAATGGAAGTAACCCAACTGGAACAGTGGATTTTAACGGGTGAGCTGAGTTCAGTTTACCTTGGGTGGTAGTTTACTATTCCTGTTTTTACTTCCTGCCTTGAAAAGACAATTATTTGTTTCATAGGGCTCTTGAAAATGGGTGATAAAATAGAAGGGAGGCTGCTTGGTTAAACAGTATAGTGTTGAGGTTAATATCCTAGATGCTGGGGTCAGTTTGCCTGGTGTGACCATTATTAATTATTACCTCTGTCTCCCAAGGGGTTGCAAAAACAAATCTTTTTGACATTCTATAGTTATTTTTTACAGATTATTCATGTTAATGAACTAGACCTCAGTATGAATTAGAAGGGCACAGGTGATTGTAGCCATTTAAAAATAATACTTTTTGAGAAAGCAAAATTTCCTTTATTTAAAAAAATTTTTTTAGTATTTTTATTTTTGCGAGAGAGAGAAAACCAGCAGCAGGCTCCAGGCTCCAAGCCATCAGCACAGAGCCTGATGTGAGACTCAAACTCATGAACAAGATCATGACCTGAGCCAAAGTCAGAAGCTTAACAGACTGAGCCATCCAGATGCCCTTAAAATTTTTGTTTTAATTAGAATTCTTTCATATGGAAAGAACCAGTAGTCACATATTTTCATACTTCTCATACCAAGTACACCTCCCCTAAGGGCTATGTGGCATAATACCAGAAAGCATTCAGGAGCCACAGGACAATTATGGCACACTTTCTTGGAGCATCAGTTTTACAAAGATCTTGTGGGAAGGTGTTTTGTTACATGCTTGTGCAAGAAAAATTAGTCAGAATTCTGCTTTCCTGTGATGGTCGGATTAGTGGTTGGAGGAGGCGTTGGGGTAGATAGTGTTTATTTGCCATAAAATCCATCAGAGAAGGTTTTTGTCTTTTGAAAATATGTAGAAAATTTGATACTTCAGGTTATTGGGAAGCGTGTTGTATTGTTGCAGGCAGAATGCACAAGGAGGGCTCCCTACTTCTGTGAAAATAGATAGTGCTAATGTCACTGGCCTGCATGGCTGGTACTGGTCCACTGAACCCAATCAGAGTGTGTGTGGTTCCTTGGTGACTTTTAGGTCCACGTTTTTATTTTTGTTTTGTTTTCTTATGCATTTGTAACCAGTGAATTTAAAAAATTTTATTATTTCTAAAATATATAAGCTGTGAATATTTGCTAGTTGTAAAAAAAAATCAAGCTATACAGAAGTATATAATTTATTCATGTGTTTATTTCAGAAATATTTATTGAGCAAGTACTGTGTACTTGCAACTATTATCCATGGTGATACAGTGGAGGAAATGTAGACAAGCAAGGTATCAGCCTTCATGGTCCTTACATTCTACTGTGAGAGACAGACAAATCAATAAAGAATAAAATAGTTAATTATTTTAATTGCTAGGCAGACAGTGATAGAAGGAGTAGGGAAACTGGATAAAATAAAAGAATTAAATACTTAACCTAATAAAAAGAATGGCTTCTAAAGTTGATTTATCTAACGTTTTTTCAAGGATGAATGTTTAGAGTAAAATGATGAATGTTTTATCGGATGAATGGTTTGGTGGGTTAAGTGTCTGACTTGGCTCAGGTCATGATCTCATGGTTTATGGGTTCAAGCTCCACGAGGGGCTCTGTGCTATCAGTGCTGAGCCTGCTTCAGATCTCCTGTCCCCCTCTCTCTTTCTCTCTCAGAAATAAACATTAAAGAAAAAAGTAAAATGATAAATATTTTTATTGTATTTGAGACATGACAAGATCATTGTGATGAAAGTGAAGAGAGTTGGATGAAAAGAGTTGAAGAGACTTGAAACATTTAAAATTTAATGCCGGGCAATAACAAGTGTTGGCAAGGATGTGGAGAAGTCAAGCCCTCATATACTGCTGTGGGGAATATAAAATAATGTGCTTGCTCTGAAAAACAGTATAGTAGTATTTCAAAAAGTTAAGTAATTATCCAGTGCTTCCACTCCTACATATCTACTCAAGTGAATTAAAACTGTATGTCCACATAAAAAATTGTACACAAATGTTCATAGCAACATTATTCATAATAGCCAAAAAGGTGAAACAACCCAAGGGTCCATCGTCTGATGAATGGATAAACACAATGTGATATAACCACACAATAGGATATTATTGAGCCAAAAAAGGAATGAGTCCTTGAACTATAACATGGATGAATCTTGAAATATGTGAAATGAAAAAAGCTGGACAGAAAAGGCCACCTGTTATATAAATTTATTTATACAAAATGTGTAGAATAGGCAAATCTAGAGACAATGTAGATTAGTAGACTAGTGTTACAGGCTAGGTTGGGATTGGGGAGTGACTGCTCATGGATACAGAGTTCATTTTGGGGTGATGGAAATGTTCTATTCTAAAATTGGATAGTGTTGATATTTGCACCATTACAAAGCACTGAATTTTATACTTTAAAAGGATAAATTTTCTGGCATATGAATTATTAACAAGAACCGTAATGCTCCATATGTGAAAAAAATTACAGCATTGGTGACAAAATTAAAAAGTCATCATCTGTATCTTGCTTCTAAAGGTGTTTCATATTTTGAGTATAAAAAGGAGATGCTTTTAATTAGTCAATGATACAAATGATTTGATCATTCAGAAAAAAAGAAAATGTGGTTAAATTTTCCTTAACAGTAGTCTGAAAGTGTTGCAATGAGCTGCCTCTTTACCAGCTAATTGGCCATTTGTAGCTGCATATGTAAATAATTTGGAGTTCCCCAAATACTGTGAAACCACGACAGAGTGAAAACTCTGGATGCTGAATCTCTTTGGTCACTGGTATTTTAATTAAGATCAGTTTCCTGAAATTGGTAGACTGTATGCAATAGCCTTGCTTTCCTTACCCCAGGAGTGAGGTAGGAAATACTTGGAGGTTTTTCCTCCTAATTATTTTATTTTACTTATTTTTATTTTATTTTATTTTATTTTATTTTATTTTATTTTATTTTATTTTATTTTATTTTATTTTATTTTATTTTCTACTTTTTTGAGAGAGTGGGGGAGGGGCAGAGGGAAAGGGAGAGAGAGAGAGAGCATCTCAAGCAGACTTCCCACCCAGTGCATAGCCTGACGTGGGGCTTGATCAATGGATAGATCTCATGACTGTGAGATCATGACCTGAGTCAAAATCAAGAGTTGGACGCTTAACCAAGTGAACTACCCAGGTGCCCCTATTATATAATTTTAAAACAGTTGCTGTCAATATGATATAAATTCTGTAACAATGCAAATTTTGCATAAACTTTAAGGATATACATGCAGCTTCAGAGAACTGGTTTTTTGGGAATCAGTTACTGACTCTGGACCCCCTAGACATACATGTTTACTCTCCTGTACTATTTGGTGGAAAAACTTGAGAAGTACTGATACTTGAGAACAACAGTTTTGAAAAGGCAAGAGAAAATGCCTCCATTCTCTGGTGGATTCCACCAGATTTCTCAGTAAAGTCTTCAAAAAATAAAGTATAAACAAGCTGCATGTTATACTTTTATCCATCATCTATTCTTTCAAAGAATATACTTTGTTTATAAATTATTATACTAAGCCGTGTGTAATGGCCAAGGCTAAGCTATCAATTGGTCTTTTTCCTACACTGTAGCTGGTTTTAGCCATTTTACATATAACCAAAGCTACTTATTGAAGAGCCTCATGCTGTTCACAGCTAAGAGTATTTTATGACTTTTCTTGAAAAAAACTGTCACTGAATATAGCACGAAGGCTATTCTTCTATGATTTCTCAGATGGCTAGGCCCATCCTGCTTGCATTTTTTAATCCTCTGCATGGCATAGTAGTTGCAGCTTGGTGTAGGGAAAGAGGTAAGGATTTTGAGGAGTTAAACTGACCTAGGTTCAAATCCTGTGTCTCAACCTTTTCTGTCAGTGTTACCTTGGGTAAGCCATACAATCTCACATATTAATCCCTTTTAATCCTTACAGTAATCTCATAAATATTCAGTTTTTACAGAGAAGATTGACTTTTAGGTAACTTATCCTGAGTGAAAAAGTTTGCATCAAACTTTTCTCATTCCAAAGTAGTCTTTTAATTATATAATTAAGATAATACTGAGATGATAAGAGTATCCAGGTTTAAGAAGATAGAATGGAATAGGAAATAAGATTTTGGTACGAATTTCTGTTGTCACTATTTGTAAACTGTATACTCAGGAAACGTCTTTTATCTCTCAGACTCTTAATTTTCTCATCTAATAAGTGATACATAAATGAGAATGATGATACCTCCTATAGTTGTATTTGCTTTTTCTAAGCCCTGCTTTTACTATTATTTGGCCTGGGAGTTGTGATATAATGAAGGATTAGCAAGAGGCAGAAATGAAAACAGTTACTGCTAGAGTGGTAGTTGGAAAGGAGAAATGTTCTCTGACTAGACCATGAGTTCTGTTAGGACAGGGACTGTTTTTTTATCCCTTTAGCCCCCTGCTCCTAACCAATTACTTGGCACTTAGTCGACTGTCAGAGGAATAATAGATTGATATTGCACGATGAGGTTATATATCATCTGTTATACTATACTTGTAGATAAACTTAAAGTCAATTTGGATTCAGAACAAGCAGTGAAAGAAGAAAAAATAGTGGAGCAACCTCCAGTGTCTGTCACTGAACCAAAGCTGGCAGCCCCTACAGGCCTGAAGAAACCCAGCAAAAAAGCAGAGCCTGTTAAGATGCAGCAGAAGGAAAAAAAAAGGTAGGAAAATTTTGTTGCCTGTGAGGGAAGAGTGTCTCTGCTGGGGGTGAGAAGGTCTGTTTGGGCTTATTGACAGTAGGCAGTTTTCAGTTGAGTACTAAATCCTACTTAATGCCTTAGGGATACAGCTGTATAACCAAAATGAAGAGAGAAGCTCAGTAGCTTATCTAGGGAAGTAGAACTGTGGAACAGCCAGTGTAGATGGTTTAGAGCCCAAATCCAGTTTTTTGGGTCCCATTGAACTAAATTGATTATCCTTTTTTTTCTTTACTTCATTTTAAATTTGTGGACATGGCATAAGTGTGCCTGATTGTGTCTGTGTCTGTTTTTCACTTTAGATTGCCAAGTGAGGGGTTACTATTTCCAGTCAAATTTAAGAGAAAAAGTTCTTTGTTTTCTTTTTATATCAATGAGTTTATTTTTCAAGTGGTAAAATGTAATTAGAAAAGAAAATAAAAAGCACACAAGCTGTTAAAAATGGATCCAGGAATTTGAGACACTACCTCATAGTTGGTAGGAATTAGTCTGTTGAAAGAAATTCTAAAGACACTGTCAGCACTGATAGGCCCAGAAATACTTGACTTTTGTAGCAAGGCTGGGGATACTCTAGTAGAAAACATCAACAAAATGCTCAAGTTTCAGAGGGTCAAGGCTCTGTCCAGTGGGCCTTACCTCCTAGGAATATGTGAGATTGGTAGGTTAAAATGTCCCCAGCCCATGGGTATAACACTCATTGTTGACAGTTATAGTCAGGAATGCGTTCAGTATTTCATTACCGAGTGTGATGTTAACTGTATGTTTTAAGTAGATGCCCTTTACCAGATGGAGGCTGTCCTTTTCTGTTTTTTTATGGATGGGTGCTGAATCTTGACTGATGCTTTTTCTGCATTTATTGAGATGATCTTTTGGGGTTTCTGTTAGTGTGGTGAATTACCTTGATCGGCTTTTAAGTGTTAAACCAACCTTGCATTCTTGGGATAAACCTAATTTTTTGTCATGATACATTATCCTTTCTATAAGTTGTTGGATTTTGTTTGCTAATATTGTAAGGATATTTTGCCACTGCATCTGTGAGGCTGATAGATCAGTTATTTACTTTTCTGATAATGTCTTTATATTTTAGTACCAAAGTTATGTAACTTCATAGAATTAGTAGAAAACTGTGTTTTCTGAGTTTGTGTAAGATATGTATTTTTTTTTTTTCTTAAAAGTTTGATAAAATTCAGTGAATCTGAGCCGAGTTTTCTTTGTGGGGAAGTTTATTTTATTAATTTGATTTCTTTAAATAGAGCCATCCAAATTTTCTTGTTCTTGTTGGGTCAGTTTTGGTTGTGTTTTTAAAGGAATTTATTTCATCTAAGTTGTTGAGTTCATTGGCATAAAGCCCCTACTATAGCCTTATTCTTTGAGGATCTGTAAAATCTGTACTTATCATTACAGATTCCTTTATTCTTTTATTCCTCATGTTGGTAATACATTGTTTTGTCTTTTTTTTTTTAATTTTCTTTTTAATGTTTATTTTTGAGAGAGAGGGAGACACAGAATCCAAAGCAGGCTCCAGCCTCCGAGTGGTCAGCACGGAACCGCGAACCCATGAACCGCGAGATTGTGACCTGAGTCGGAGTTGGACACTTAACTGATTGAGCCACCCAGGCACCCCTGTTTTGTCTTTTTTTAATCAGTCTTATAGAAGGGTTTATTAATTTCATTAGTCTTTTGCCCCAAAATAACAATTTTTAACCTTGTTAGTTTTTTTCTGTTTTATTTCATTAATTTCTGCTCTTTATCTTTTTTTGTTGTTTTTTGTTTGTTTGTTTTTTACCTATTTGGGGTTTGTCTTTTACTAGCTTGAGGTAGAAAAATAAGTTGATAAAGTTACATAAGGAATAAGTTACTTGAAGATAAAAACCACATTTTATACATATCTGAATAGTGTGATAGAGTATCCAGAGGAGCTAACTAACGTTAAGATGGAGTCTAGGTTTTTTTTATTATGTCATTAGAATCACCTTAAGGTCTTATGTCTATGCCTTTGCACATTTTTTTTCTTCTCTTTAAAATATTTGTCTCCCTTTTTTTACCTGATGAATTTCCACTTAGTTTTTAGTTTTCGTACAAGAGTCTTGTCCCATAACATTTTATTTGTCCAGTAGTCCTTATCACATTGTCTTACATTTGGTGGTGTTTATATCTATTTCTCCCACCAGAGCTTCTTGGTAACAGTATTTTCTTCATCTTTGCATCCTCGGTGTTTAGCAAAAAGCCTGTGTATGTAGTAGCTGCTTATTTAAAGCTTGTTGAATGATTGAAAGGTCAGTAGGAAAAGTAAGAAGGAATTTGTAATGATAATTGATGAGCTGGTAAGTAGTTTCCAGTGAGCTATATAGAGAGCTAGAAAAATGTTTCATTCTGGTTACCCCATGGAATGACTTAGTTGTGGTCAGCACAGTATCCTTAAAAAGAATCCTTATTGGTCTACTTTGACTCTTCTATCCTCTGGAATTAAGACCAGGAGTTATGAAGCAAGACCCATAGTAGCATATGAATACTTATATTTTTATTTTGTGTAACATGATTAAATTATTCCTGGATGGCAACAGGGGGAAGCGAATGGAGTTATCTGATGATGAGACAAAAGAAACTGAAAGTATGAAGAAAAAGAGGAGAAGAATCAAACTTCCTGAGTCTGATAGCAGTGAAGATGAAGGTGGGCTATGAAAGGTTGCTATTAATTTTTGGCTAGTGTCATTGTCTCCGTTACTTGGGTTATAGCAAAAGTACCATAGACTGGATGGCTTAAGCAGGACAAATTTGTCCTGTTCACAGTTCTAAAGGGTGAGAATTCCAAAACCAAGGCACTGCCTGATTGTAGTTCCTGGTGAGAGCTCTCTTCCTGGTTTGTAGGATATCTCCTTGCCATATCTTCACATGGCAGAGAGAGAAAGTGTTTCTCTTGCATCTTTTATAAGGGTGGTAATCTGATTCCATTAATTACCTCCCAAAGACCCCACCTCCAGATACCATCACGTTAGGGGTTAGAGCTTCAAATATGAATTTTGGGGGAACACAAACATTTAGTTGATAGCAGGGGTCAATTCTTACTTTGACGCTCAAGGAGTTAAAAAGTAATTTATTACAGGTCACAATGACAATAGTAATTGTAGTATTGAGAGATAAACAATAGCACCATTAGAGTCTGCTTTCGCTTTTTGATCAGAACCATTGTTTTTTGGTAATTTAGCAAAATAACATAAAAGGAAAGAGAATAAGGATTATTATTATTATGTATATTATCAAAGAACTTTTCTTGGGGCGCCTGGGTGGCGCAGTCGGTTAAGCGTCCGACTTCAGCCAGGTCACGATCTCGCGGTCCGTGAGTCCGAGCCCTGCGTCAGGCTCTGGGCTGATGGCTCAGAGCCTGGAGCCTGTTTCTGATTCTGTGTCTCCCTCTCTCTCTGCCCCTCCCCCGTTCATGCTCTGTCTCTCTCTGTCCCAAAAATAAATAAACGTTGAAAAAAAAAATTTTTTTAAAAAAGAGCTTTTCTTTTTCTAATTTATTTTTTACTTTTTTATTTTTTTATTTTTTTAATGTTATTTTTGAGAGAGAGAGTGTGAGTGGGGGAGAGGCAGAAAGAGAGAGGACAGAGGATCTGAAGCAGGCTCCACACTGACAGCAAAGAGCCTGACACGGGGCTCAAACCCATGAACCATGAGATCACGACTGAGCCAAGTCGGAAGCTTAACTGACTGAACTGCCTAGGTGCCCTGAAGAGCTTTTCTTTTTAAAAAATGAAATGGAGATATTCCTTTGGCTACCTTCATGTGAATCTTTTAAAACAGGTAATATTGTAGGTATCAAGGGTGTTGGTGATATGATGTTCCACGCCACATAAATAAAAACATGCTAAGTTTGAGAATCTATAGTATCATTGTTGAAAGGGAATGATACTATGGACCCTTCTAGTTTTATGCTGTGGGCTCTATTGTAAGATAAACAAACAGAATAAGGGCAAGATTCTTACCTGGAAAATTCATATGCCTTTTCAAAGAATATCAGGTGTTCGAAGAGCCAAGATCTCTCCCCAAATTGTGTAAATGAAGGTATATAGAAAGAGGATGAGGCTGGGGCACCTGGGTGGCTCAGTTGGTTAAGCCTCTGACTTCAGCTTAGGTCATGATCTCGAGGTCCGTGAGTTTGAACCCTGTGTCGGGCTCTGGGCTGACAGCTCAGAGCCTGGAGCCTGTTTATGATTCTGTGTCTCCCTCTCTCTCTGCCCCTCCCCTGCTCATGCTCTGTCTCTCTGTCTCAAAAATAAATATAAAACATTTAAAAAAAATTAAAAAAAAAAAAAAAGAGGATGAGGCTAATGAGAAAGATGCATTGGTCAAACTGCTATGCCAGATGACTTCTACCCTGCTTTGAGAACGGTGGTGAGAAGCTTGATTTTCTATAATCCGTTCTCTATGAATGTATGCCATAATGGGTATAAAACATTTTGAGGGGTCAGGCAAATCTACTCCAAAGGAATTCAGCATCAGATGAAGATAGAATGACAAAACAAACAAACAGATGCTAAAAGAAATTAAAGAAGAATAACGAATGCAGGAAAAGGAACCTGTTCTGCTGGTAAAGGACAAAATAAACTTGTTAGGCTCTACTCTTACCAGAAATTTCTGTAAGAATTGAAAATGGCAACAGAGGCACCCCGAAAGCAACTCAGCGACTGTACATGTACAAATGAGTGAGAAAGCCATTTATTTATACAGATGACAGTAATGCAAAAGAAATGAACAGACCTAAGAAATTGTACAAGGAAGTTAAATCTATGATGTAGGTATATCTTTGACTCTTCCATAGGTTTAGATCCTACCAGTCATGCTTGCATGTAGGAGTTTATAAGCTCTGATATCCTATAGAGGTATTGTGCCCACCAGAGCTGTGGTTTTTTTTTTTAATGACTCTTTGGAATAGGTAGGGATAGGGCATTGTGAGCATCCTAGAGGAGCTGTCACTATATACTCATTCCATGTCATTTATCAAAATGCTTTGACTAAGACACCTGAAAGGAAGATACCCAAGTGTGTGGCTGAAACAAGAGCCATCAAGTTAAGAATTAAGGAAATAGAAGCGACTCCATGAAGATACATGGGAAAATAATTAGGAAGTAACAGGAATATTACTGTGCTATTGAAATTGTCTTCCCTATTTCCAACCAGGAAAAGGATTTGGGGAAGAATCTGGAAAAGGCTTTCAAGCCATCAACCTAATGTACTTTGAAAAGGTAAACTAGGTACTCCAGTGAAAGAGTCAGCTCTAAGTCAGGGAATTACTGTGGTTGATTAAACACTCATTACATATTTCTGAAATATTCTCTGGAGTGCTGATCATTAGTGCACAAAAATAATACCTGTGGGTGATTAGAAATATGAGTGGGGTTATTAGTTTAGAAAGAAGTGAGAAGAAATGTGATAGAGGTGAACAACCTATAATAATAGATAATATAAATGAGAGGCTCTCAGATTTTTTTATCTGGCAGAATAATTTTTAGCATCTGACTAAATTTGCAAACCTTTGCCATTTTACTCCTAAATTTCTTCTTCATCTCAAAGCTAGAGGGCCTTTATTTTAAACCTTTACACAAACTCTAATCTATTACCATTTTATTCCTGTGACACTGAATATATACTATTCAATGTGCTGTCTTCAGATGGAAATTAGCAAATGAGCAGCAGAAGTGGAAGAAATGACAGGGACTTTGGAGTAAAACAGACCTGGGTTTAAATCTTACTTCTGCCACTTAACTGAGTACATGGCACCCCAATGTTTATAGCAGCACTATCAACAATAGCCAAAGTATGGAAAGAGCCCAAGTGTCCATCGATGGATGAATGGATAAAGAAGATGTGGTATATCTGTACAAAGGAGTATTACTCAGCAATCAAAAAGAATGAAATCTTGCTATTTGTAACTACGCAGATGGAGCTAGAAGGTATTATGCTAAGTGAAATTAGTCAGAGAAAGACAAATATATGACTTCACTCATATGAGGACTTTAAGATACAAAACAGATGAACATAAGGGAAGGGAAGCAAAAAGAATATAAAAATAGGGAGGGGGACAAAACAAGAGACTCTTAAATATAGAGAACCAACAGAGAGCTGCTGGAGGGGTTGTGGGTAGGGAGATGGGTTAAATGGGTGAGGGGCATTAAGGAATCTACTTCTGAAATCATTATCGCACTATATGCTAACTTGGATGTAAATTAAAAAATAAATTATTTTTAAAAATAAAAAACCTTACTTCTGCCACTTATTGTGCAACTGGAGACAGATTATTTAACTTCTTCAATTCCTTGTTTCCTCATCTCTAATGGGGATGTTATCACACCGTGTAGACTTTTTATGAACATCAAATAAGATACGTCAGCAATGCCAGGACACTGCTTGACATAGCAGGTTTTCTTCTTATTCACCCCACTTTTTCTATTGACGTGTTCCATAAGTATTTAACAGCAGTCTCTTCTCTCAGAAAATTCCCTTCAACTTCATATCTTTAACTCTCTACCCAAGAGACTTTTCCTTTATTTCTCTTCTTGGCAGAGTCATAAGCACCATTAGCAGTTCTACATACTCTCTTTGTAAAGCAAGAAAAAGCCAGACCCAGATAGAAATCACATTAAGAGTAATGTTTTCATTGCTAGGAAGAGGGGCGCCTGGGTGGCTCAGTCAGTTGAATGTCCAACTCTTGATTTTGGCTCAGGTCATGATCCCAGGGTAGTGGGATCAAGCCCCACATTGGGCCCTGTGCTGAATGTGGAGCCTACTTAAGATTCTCTCCTTCTTCCCCACTCGTGCTCTGTCTCTAAGATAGAATTTTAAAAAATATATTGCTAGGAAGAAATAGTTTTAGCTGATTAAGTTTTTGCTAACATTTTCAGTTTTTGCAAATTACTTATGGAGAATGTTAAGCAAATGACCCCCCCCCCCCACCCTTTTTAGGTTAAGATAGGTAGTTTATAAATTTTCCTAGGAAGCTGTGAGTGATTTCCAAAATGACCCATCTCTGCCATAGCACTCTGGTAAACAGTGGTTACTCTGCTAGTAACTAGTTTTACTACAGTTCTTATTCTGCTGTCCTGGGGTAAGTGTTAAATTACACTTCTTGAGTACCTTTCATCTGAAAAGCTGTAAATTCATTATAAATATATTTAAAATACACCAATGTATGAAACCCTCCTTATGCTTATGTCACTAAAAGTATGTCGAGGATATATTTACCTTGATGGAAAATCAGACACATACGGATTCTAGCATATGAATGTGGCCAAATTTTTTTTAGTCTCTTTGAACCTCAGTTTTATAAAGCAGAAATAATAGTAACAGTGATTTTGTGGGGAATATTATGTGAATGAATGATTAATGTTTGTAAAGCCCAGAAAATTCTAGTTGTTTTCTGTATCCTTCCTTCCCTTTTTTTTCTTTTAAAAGTTTGTTTATTTTGAGTCAGAACAAGCAAGGGAAGGGCAGAGAGAAAGGGAAAGAGAGAATCCCAAGCAGGCTCTGTGCTGTCAGCACAGAGCCCCATGTGGGGTCCAGTCCCACAGTTTGTGGATTGAAGCTGAGCTGAAAACAAGGACTGGATGCTTAACTGACTGGGCCACCCTGACACGCCCCCCCATCCTTCCTTTCTTAAAAAAAATTTCTTTGTGGGGCGTCTGGGTGGCTCAGTCGGTTAAGTGACTGACTTTGGCTCAGGTCATGATCTCACAGTTTGTGAGTTCAAGCCCCACGTCAGGCTCTATGCTGGCAGCTCAGAGTCTGGAGCCTGCTTCGGATTCTGTGTCTCCATCTCCTCTTCATACTCTCTCTCTCTTAAAAATAAATAAACGTTAAAAAATTTTTTTTAAAAATTTCTTTGAGAGAGAGAGTGTGTGCATGCATGGGAGGGGCAGAGGGAGAGAGAGAATCTTAAGCAGGCTCCATGCCCAGCTCAGAGCTTGACGTGGGGCTCGATCTCACAACTGTGAGATCATGACCTGAGCCGAAGTCAAGAGTCAGATGCTTGCCTGACTGAGCCACCCAGGTGCCCCAAAATGTTTTATTTAAAAAAATTTAAAGTGATACACAACTTGAAAAATCAGATAAAATAGAAGTTTTGTAATAGATTGTAAGCTCTCCTATTGGACTCAATCTAATTGATGCTTCTCCTGTCACCTTTCTCCCATCTGCCTTCCATCTTCTGGGGATTTGTTGAAAATTCTTATTCATTACAAGTTCTTGGCTCCCTCTTCTACTCTCTTCCCTGTTATGGCAGGGATAGGGGTGGCAGGCAGGTTTACAGCATTTCATTCCTTAGTCATCACTGTAATGTGTCTCTTTGGGTGGATGTGGAAGGGAGGGGGAGGTATATGCTGACTCTTCCTTGACCTAGAAGCCCCTCATCCCAAATTCCAAAAATGATTGTTTTCCTTTATTAAAAATATCGTTACTGTTTGTTCAGTGCCAGGGAAATTGTGGTGTCTCTGCCTCCATGGAGGTTAGAGTCAGAGGAGGATCTAGATAAACACTTGTATACAGTGCAGTGACAGGGGTCTTAGAGGGTGCCACTAGGATTAAGTGTCTTCATGGTTACAGAAGTGGAAATAGAATGAAAACTCCTAAATTAATTGTGAGGACTCAAAATTCCTTTTCTTTGGCTTCCTCACTGTGTAAACTTTCCTCCTGCCCCTGTAACGCATGTGACACAGCTTTCCTGATTGCTATACCTTCAAAGAAATGGGAGCTTGGCTCTGTGGTTTAACTTTTCTCTTGCTTACTTGAGCTCCCATCATGTTCTATTCTCCTAGAGCTGGGTTACTAGCTGGACCACTTTCCTCATATGTTTCTGACTCTTGTTTCCTAGAGCTTATAAAGTTTTGGGGCCCATTTCATACTTGAAGTGTATAATTTATTGTTTCGTTCTGGCTCTTGTTTTGCTTCACCTCTTTAGGTCATTTGGCCTTGAACCCTCCACTGTCATAATTTTTAACACTGACCTAATCAGTTGGGAGAATTTCAGATCCAAGACTTGTGCTAAGAATTTGAATACAGCCAGGAGATTCAGGGAGCAGGTGAGGCTAAGCAACTACCCAGTCTTTTTACCAGCAGTTTCTCTGTGGTGATTAAGCCGTAGGTCAGCTGAGGATTTTCACTTCCCCCTCTCATGGGCCTTATACCAAGACCACTGTTTCTGGAACTGTTCAGGAATGATGGGATCCCTCTGCAGATGCTCTCTTCTCGGGTGATACCACTTCCAGAGCAATATTGCTTTCCCAAAGTGTTCTTTCCGGTTACTCTCACTACAACAAAACAAGCCTCATCAGTGAGCAATCACTAGAAATAATTCCCATACAAAATAGTAAGCCAGTCTTAGTTGTAAGAGCTATAATTGTGACGGTTTCAAAGGTGATTTTTCCTCCAAAGTTTATGCTCTTAACATCAGCTGGAATATTTCAGTCTAATAAACATCTCAGGTGATTGCAGATAATCCTTGGATCATAGTCATGAAGACTCTGGCATGGAACATTTGATATGATCTGAGAATTATATCTGTTTGTTTAACCTTAAAAGAAAATGTCTGGCCCTGAATGGTAAGGCAGCACAGAATAGTTGGAATGGTAAGGCTGTGGCATCAGACTGACTTGGGTTTAAAACCTCCTGCCTCATTTGTAAGCCCTGTGACCTTGGCAAGTTAATTAACCTCTTTGAGCCTCTTTTTACCCAACTGTAATGTGTGAATAATATTTGTCTCTTAGGGTTGTTATGAGGATAAATGAAACAATTGTAAGTGGAATACATGACACATGTTAGATGATCAGTGGATATTTATAAAACAACTTTAGACTTTCCTACAAAATAAAAGGTTTAGCTAAGATAATCTCTAAGGTTTATTCCAGCTTTAATAACTCTTAATTCTCTGGTTTTCTTTGTATAAAATTAGTAAAATGTGTATTTTAAAGATCTATAACTGCAAAGTCCTTGGTTGTCATGAATTACTGCTTGCAAAATGTCCTTTGCTGGATACAGACATTTAAAAAGTCACCAGAGAAGGCGTTGTACCAGATAGCGCCACAGTTCTCTTAGCTAAGCTTGTTTCATTATTTCAGTCATACCAGACTCTCCTGGGGATTATGAAGCTGAGTCACCATCCCCACCTCCTCCTGCTTCTCCACCTCCTGAACCAGTGCCTAAGACTGAACCAGAGCCTCCTTCTGTCAAGGTAAAACTTTACTGGGATGGTTGCCTTTCCATGTGTCTGACCTCCCAAGGACCTGAAACTATGCTGAACCGGCCACTGCTGTATAGTCCAGGGACACCAGTAGATGGCTCTTTTCTCATTCCACTCTCTGTAGGTACTACAGGATGGACATTCCCTCTCCTCACCTGCGGTGAGAGCTCAGCTATAGGGCGCATCTCAGGAAGGTTGCAGAGGTCAGGCCTGGGAGTGGTTTTGTTTTTCATGACCTCCAGCATCAGGGCTGCTGTGTTACCCAACTCCTATTGGAATTTTGCAAAGTAAGGTCTTGCCTGCATCAGAGCAAAGTTTGGGAAATAGAGTGAACAAACAACTTATGCACATTTGTTGTTCTTCAGAAACTCTTCTGGAAAAGGGAAGGGTGAGAGAAGCTGGCAATAAATGGGGGAATATAGTTTTGAATGGTCTTCAGCTGCATCTTGTCTATTAGTGTAGATAATGAAGAGTTGAGAAGAAAGGTGCTAACAAGGCTTTTTTTCCTTTACAACTATTAGTTTTCCTTTAATTCATTGTATTAAGACTGTCATTTAAATTTTGCACTAATTTCCTCATTAGCTGACAGGAAAATGGGATGAAAGACCACTGAACATAAAAGGAAATTGGTATTAGTAGTATCTGTGTGAAACTAAATTAGACAAGGGTAATGTTGCAGCATCAAGGCTAAAATAGCAAGTATCTACAGCAAGGGTACATGCCACGGACCTCTCATCTGATTTAGCTTTCCTGTGTGCTTCCATAATGTCTGCCACAGCCCTCCATTAAAGCCCTTACCACAGTGGATTGCAGTGGTCTGTCTCCTTGCTTCTCTCATCCGCAAAGGTCCTTGTCCTATTGGTCTTTTTAACCATGGTGCACTGCTTACCAAAAGTTTGTTGACTGAATGATCACAGTTATCTTATAAGCATTAAACATCAAGCTTCCATATATAGGAATGTAAACTTGTCTGTATAGTAGGACTGGTCCGTAAAAGGAAATGGATAGAGTTTCACATTCAACTTTTTATCATCATGGAATATTGGAGGGTGATTATTGTAGATTAAAAAGCTCTTGTTATTTTTCTCTATAGAGTCATTGATCAACTGAATGTTGTAACCTCTGATCTTCCTGTGATCTTTTAGAGCTCAAATGGAGAAAAAAGAAAACGAAAACGGGTGCTGAAGTCTAAGACCTTTGTGGATGAGGAAGGCTGCATAGGTAAGAAGAGTTTCTGGCTCCGTGATCTCTTACAGAGCAGTGTGCTTCAAACTTGAATGTGCACATGACTCACGCCAAACATGGCACGCACCCTGAGTAGCAGAGTAGAGAACACTACAACGAAAGGCAGAACATGGGTTCTTGTTTGGACCACATCCTGTAGAAATAAGCTTTGAGGTCTTGGATAAAAGTCCTGTCACCTCTGGTAGGGAGTTTCTTGATGTATGGAATGGAGGTAAAATATCCATTTTGCCTATATGTGGGATTGTTGTGAAAATTCAGGTGAGGTAACGTTTAAAGGCACTTTCGATATGGAAACCATAATACCAACATAAAATGTTGTTACGGACATTGAGAAACTTTTTTTTTCTAGAATGGTTGTTTTATACATTTGAACAGTGGAAAGGAAGCCCCCACTGATGATTAGACTCTGAAGAGAGTGTCAAGAGTCTTCTTGGTATTTTGTCCCATCTCTCCAGAGGGGTTTGACTCTTCCAAATCACTTCATGTTTCCCGTTTGTAAGTCATGTTAGATAAAAACGCGTGCTTTTTGTGGTGACCTAGAGGGGAATTAGAATTTAGCTTTTCAGTTATTTATAGGTTGAATTCTTCAGCCATGTTTAAGCTTGTTCTACCCTTCCACAGTTGACTCAAACTTCTGTGGGGCTTTCACACTTGCAGGCCAATAGGATGCTCTGATCCTGGTACTTTTTGTGTTTACAGAGACTTGTGGGCTTAGTCTTGGAAACCTCCTGTTAGTTTGATAGACTATAATTGTAGTTTCTCCCTTCCTGTGGCACCTGCTCTCCTAAAGAAGTATCTTTTCCCTTTCATGACTCTCCTTTTCTGGTTCAAACTTTCATCTTAAAAAGATTGATCAATTCTGAAGAATCTACTTTTCCTAGGTTGTGTGGTTGTTAGAATAAGTGCAAACCCTGTCCCATTGTTCCCTACCTTCCACTCCTCTGAAAAGGCCTCTGCCATTTTTTTTAAAGATTTTTTTTTCGATGTTTATTTTTAGGAGAGAGCATGCCGGTGGGGGAGGGGCAGAGAGAGAGGAAGACACAGAATCCAAAGCAGGCTCCGCACTGCCAGCACAAAGCCCTATGTAGGGCCTGAACCCAGAAACCAGGAGATCATGACCTGAGCTAAAGTTCAGTGCTCAGCCAGCTGAGCCACCCAGGCACCTCAGGCCTGTGCCATTTTAATTGTAGCATATTATCGGGGAATAAAATTCCTTACACTGGAAATTGGTCTTTTCAGTGCCAAATTTTTTGTGAGCCTATGAATTCTGGACTTCAACTTAGGGTTGTTTTTTTGTATTTTGTTTTGTTTGCTTTCAGTCTTCTAATAGTGTGTTTTCAAGCCTTTTGGTTTGACTAGTGGTGATAATATGTGCATTTACTATTGAAGTTCTTACTTTTTCTTTGTTTTAAATTTAAGAGGACAAAGGCATCAGTGCCAGTTTTTCCCTCCTTCTACCCCGAAAGAAAAATGTCAGATATATCATTGTGAGCATTTACTGGGAGTTTGTGGCTAATTACCTGTTGCTTTGTTCAAAACACAGTACTCAAGTTTTGGCCAGGTATGGGATGTGGACTTTTTACACTCCTGTCTCCAGACAGGACTATTAAGAGCCTTGGATGCAACAATGAAAACCGTGCTCACATAGCCCTTTTTTTTTTTTTTAAGGTTTGTAGTCCAAGCTCAACCTAATGAATCTTGGCTCCTGTTACCAACAAAGGAGTTGTGCTTTCCTTTCTGTTTGAACTGTTCCAAATGTACCAGCACAGGGGGCTTGTCCTGTCCTATGCTGGATGAGAGCTGGTCTGGGGGTTTTCAAAACTGATCTTTCCTTTTCTGTGACTTTGCTTCAGGGACTGGGGAGTTGGGCCCCTGAGATTAGTGTGGGGTAGACTTTTGGACAAGTTAGAATTCTAACAGCAAAACATTGAGTGGAGAATAATTCTGATGTTATCCATGTAAACTGGGCTCTTTTTTTTTTTTTTTTTTTTAATGGCAGCCCAGAAAAGTTGCATGTTACTCAGTTAAAATAAAGGTTCTGTATCTTTAAAGTTGAAATCTCCTTTGTCTTACAGTTTGAAGTAACTAAAGCTTTGAATATAGAAATCCTTCTTTTAGCTCTTGAGGTATACTCAGTGTGCTGCTGAAGAAATTTTGTTGGTGTTGCCCTGACTGGTTTTAACTCCCCCAAGCAATGCATTGCACAGAATTGGCAATGAGACAACCAGTGGTTTCAGTAATAAGTAATGAAATAATGAGCTAATTGATGTTGGAGTTTTACATTATAGACCTGCTGCCATTTGAATACAAAGTATAGCTTATGAAGGAGCAAGTTTTATACCACCAACTAGTAGTAAGTTGTTTCTTTTCTATGTCTGCATATGGCTCTTCAGACTTCCCTAATTTGAGATATTGAGTAAATAGCAGCTCATAAGTTTGTTCCAATAATCCAGTTGCATAATGCGTTTCAAGTTGCCGATGAGATTGGGCTAGTGTTCAGGGATCATAATTGCTGAACTAATAGGTATGCCATGGGAATTCCCTAAGTACCTTAGAGCAGCATTTCTCAAACTTCACATTACTTGAAGATCTTGCTAAAATTCAAATTCTGATTCAGTAGGCCCTCAGGTAGGACCTGAAATTCTGCATTTCTAATAAAATCATGGGAGAGTCTAATGCCTCTGGTCTGTGGAGCACAGGTGAGTAGTAAGGCCTTTGAGAACACTTTATATATGTAAATATATATATCTACATATATATATTTAAAGCTTCTCAGTGATTTGTAGCCTCTAAGTTGATAGGAATCAGCAAAGTGAATTCTAGGCTCTTAAAAGTAATGACAAATCCTAGGAACTCTTAGTGAGGGAACCGTTAATTATGTACCCTTAATGGGATTAGATGGGTATGGTGAAGGAATGCTCTACCGGCAACAGACCTCCAGCATGGCTTTGCCATTGTGAAGGGAAAGACCAGCATTGATGGGTACTTACTAATAAGATCACTAGGTGCATCCATACCTTCTGTGAGGCAGTGTTACTCCCATTTTACAGGGGAGGAGAGAACAATGATTCTCAAGGTATAGTCCCCAGACCAGCAGCATCAGCATTCCCTGGGAACATGTTAGAAAAGCAAATTCTCAGGTCCATCCCTCACCTACTGAATTTGAAGCTCTGGAATTAGAGTTCGGCAATGTTTTAATAAGCCCTGAAGGTGATCCTGATGCACATCAAAAGTTTGAGAATTTATAAATGGCAGACTACATATTAGTATGCAGATATAGTTGATTTCAAAGCCACTGCCTCTGGAGTAGTTTGTTCTTAATCGCTAATTAAGTGCTTAAAACTATTATTGTTCTTTAATAGGACAAAAATGTTCTTTAATCGTTTGAGCATTTATGATGCATATTAGGTTACTGTGTTCAGCCAAGAGGAGATGTTTTCCTTTACTCTTCATCTTCCTGCTGCAACCGGGAAAGCTGAGAAAGAATGTAGATGTTGGTTATACAGCTGCTGCAGCTCTCTAAAGTCACAGGAAGGTGGCATTGTACTGTTTCTCATGATTGGTTTGTGTGCTGCAGTAATACTGAATAGACCCTCATCAGTTCTGTGACATCATTGTTGGAAGTTATTGTCTGTGCCTATGCCCTTTTCAGCTTCCTTATACTGACTGCTCACTGGTAAAATTATTTTCAAAGGGGGAGGGGGTCAGTGAATTTTATTGGTATAAGAAAAGGCAAAAGTATGCCTTTGGTTGATAGGGCATTAAGAGAATTGGTAACTTTGTTTCTCATTTTATCATTGTCTTAAAACAATCAAGTTTGTTATATGATTGAGTTTGCTTGGGGCAGTTATCTTCGCAATGCAGACCACTAGTAAGTGTTGGGTCATTTAGAACTAAGAACTGAAAAATTGAGTAATCTGCAATTCTTGTATTTAGGATGTGCAGAGAGTGAGTGGGTGATGTCAGGATATAGCCAGCCAGGAGGGCCCCTGACTGTGAACCTGGTTAGACAAGATGAAGACTGGCGAATAGAGCAGAGATTAAGATCCAGAAAAGCAGCAGTGGAAGGAAATAGGCAGGCACTGTGGGTCAGGGAAGTGAGATTGAAGAAGTCAGTCAAAGCGTGGAGGTAGAAGTGGGTATTTGAGATACAGACAGTTCAATGTAGAGTTCAGGAAGTTAGCTAGCATTGACCAGGACCCAAATGCAGAATTTGGGCAAAAGGCATGGGGCATAGCAGCGAGACAGTAAGGGTAAATGTTGGCTCTGAGCCCCAACTAGACACTGTATGAGTTTAAGATAAATAGTTCCTATTGGTGGCCTGATCTGATCTCCCAGTGGGAGAAGGCTCCAGTATTAGGTGAGCTGATCAGAGGGTCTCCCTTGATCAGAGGGTCTGAAGGAATTGGAGTGAACAAGACATCTCATTCTCTTAATAACAGTGTTCTAAATGACTTGACCCACTCCTTTCCCATTTTTTTTTTTTTTATTCTGCCAGTGACTGAAAAAGTCTATGTGAGTGAATCCTGCACAGATAGTGAAGAGGAGCTTAAGATGAAGACCTCCTCTGTACATAGACCCTCCGCCATGACGGTGAAAAAAGAACCCAAAGAAGAACGAAAGGGCCCAAAGAAAGGGACTACTGCTCTGGGCAAAGCCAACAGACAAGTATCCATTACTGGCTTCTTCCAGAGGAAGTGAACTGCCATCTCTGTTAGTTCAGAGACGTGGAGTGGTCAAGGGAGAAGACCAAGACAGACAGACTCTCACTTACTGTGTAAGTTCATCCTGTGCCTCACCTTGCCTGTATCAAAAGACTTATCCATCCTGTGAGGTTTATACTGTTTCTGGTTTTTAACCAAAGGGAAATCACCTGGAAGCAAGAGGCAAAAGAATATTTAAGAAGCTGTTGTGTTTTAAGGACATTTTTTTTAAGCACAATCTTGACCTGTTCTGGAGAAGAATTCACTCCAAACATAAATTGGAACAGGTTTCAGAATTATCACTGAAGCCATTTAGTTGCTAATTCACTGCTCCCTACCCAATCCTGTGTCCTGAGCACTTATGGCTCAAGAAGTATTCTTCTTTGTTCCTTTGTATTCTGTGGACTTGTGTGGGTCTTCATTTATCCCTGAATTTTACTGGCTGTGTTTACCACTCTCCCCATAATCCCTTCCCCACTACCATACTTCTATGTGAAGCCATTTTCTGTAAGTCTTTTAAATCTTTGTTGGACTAAAGGCTGAAACAAAAATCTCCCTATAATCCTCTAATCCTCTCTTCCTCCGTTATAAAGTACACTGACACCTGGCTACAGACCAGCACATTGCTTATGTTCTGCGCCTTTCACAAAAGCTCTCTCGACCTTCACTCGCAATTAGTAGGTAGGGAAAAGCCTCAGGCAGAGCACAAATAGAAATGTAATGATGTATTCAACTCCACCAGAAATTACTTAGTGTCAGCATTGACGATAGTAGAGGCCTTGCCATGTTGCTGACACAGGGCATGTTTTACGCTGCTCTTTGTGATTTTTGTCTCCTCCTCTCTCCCTTTCCCACTGTTAGTACCTAGAGAGTGAAACCCAGGCAATGAAATGGAGGCTAAAAAGAGAAAGCCTTTTCTGTATGCAGGGTACAACAGTTAAGAAAAAGTTCTCCTTCTCAAGGAACCTGAATGTTCAGAAACAGCAATTTTCCAGGAAGGTAACAAGGAAGAAATAAAGCACACATTTTTATACAGATGTTGCTCCTCTGTATTTTAACCCTCCCATTTGCCTCAAAGTATAGGCTGCCCAAGAAAGGTGGAGAGACTGAGTTGTTAGTAGGACTAAACAGCAAGTAACACATTCTCATTTGTTGCTTATGGAAAATCATCTATTCTATTGATAACTTTTAAGTGATTTTCATGATAGCTGGACAGTGACCTTGGTGGATCGAAGTGGTGAGGTAGTAATCTGGTACAGTGAGCTCTAGGGAAAGAACACAGGCTCATCTGCTGGCATGACTCACAACTGACAGACGAGGGATGTCTGACTTAGCCTGCGTATGTCATGATGCAGTCAGCATCCAGTAAACCTACTGTTTAAGGTTAGGATTCTAACTGACCTTGGATTCATACGAACATATTTAGCAGCCATCATCCAGGCCTCTCCAGCCAGGCACCCCATGGACTTGATTGAGACCAGAAGTTTGGGAGATGAGTCCTGGCATTACATCTAGGACTTGAGAAGGCAGACGCTTTGTGTCATAAGCAGAGTAAAGGTTGACGTATTCCACAGCCCTCTTTCTTTTTAAAATGTAAAAGGATGGAAAGCCTGGACTTACCTTTACAAAAAACCTCTGGAGAATGATCTTTAAAAAAATTTTTTTAATGTTTATTTATTTTTGAGAGAGAGAGGGAGGGATACGCAGAATCAGAAGCAGGATCCAGGCTCTGAGCTGTCAGCATGGAGCCCAACACGGGGCTCAAACCCACGAACCGTGAGATCATGACCTGAGCCAAAGTCGGACGCTTATCCAACTGAGCCACCCAGGCGCCCCTGGAGAGTGATCTTTTAAATGGTTATTTTTGTCATTGCCTCTAGTAATTTTTCTAAATAAGAATTGGAAAAATTAAAAAAGCAACAATCTAGTTTTTTTTTTTTTTTAATTCTGCTGGGCTCTCTATTGAAACTGAATTTTGAATTGGAAAACTCCAGTGGTAGTTGGAGTTCCATCTTTGAAAGGATAATGCAAATCCTGTGATCACCACACCCAGTATGCTGCCTGAACTCCGCTGTCTGCAAGGCTTAGGAGGGAGGGAGTGGTGGCCTTTTTTTTCTTTTTATACAAAACTCTACCATGTTATCCACATGAGTTAAATAAATTTGAGAAGTTGTTTTAAAACAGTGCTTCAAACTGAATGTCTGATGAGTCTGTTATTTGACAGGACGGCAGCAGTGTGTGCAATTATTCAAACTCTGAACAGGAACAAGGCTGGTTTTCAGTTCATATTGTTAAAACTGCACACCCATAGTCTGAGATGAACAAGTCATTTGCTGCTTTCATCATTTTTTCAACCCAGTGGGAAACCTTAGTTTCAGCCAACATCATTTTTTAGTTCATTTAGGAGAAAATGTAGTCCTGATCTTGCACATTGTGTTAGTTTGGCTTCATCACTTGCTAGCCATGTGACCTTGGGCACATTTCTAAGCGTCAGGTTCTTTGTCAAAATAGAGCTAAAACGAGTTACCATAGATTGTCAAGACTGAAGAAGCGTATACATGCAGCCTAAATTTGGTGCACAGTTGTAGCACATAGGTGCTCTACAAATGGTGGCTTCCTTCCTGCTGTGAGAAATGCAGTCAGCCACCAACTTCCTGAAACGTTTTCAAGGAGATGAGCCAGATGTTCTACTTTGAAAGTCGTCATTCTGGTGGGAAATGTGATCAAAGGTGGAAGATACTTGTTCTATATTATGAAAAATTTTAAAGAGAGTAGATACTTTTCTATTGAAACAAACTGAGGTTCATTGATGGCTGTATTTACTATACATGAAAATACGTTTGTCAACTCATGTGTCAGGCCTCTGACCTGGACACAAGAGGATATAGGTAGCATCCTAGAATTTAGCACTTGTCTACAGGCTCTAATGGAAGAGACAAGCCACTAAAATGAAATTATAACATGATATGGTGAGTGCAGTGACAAGTAAGCACAGGGTTCTCTGAGAGCTCATAGGAGTGTGGGCATTCTTCCTGGAAGAGAGAAAGCTAAGTGGATATTTGAAGGGTGAGTAGGATTTTACTCCAAAGAGAAATGGAAAAGATTTTCCAGGCAGAGGAACATGGCTTTGGGGGGAAATGGACAGTAGACTTTGGGAAAAGGGATGAAATGTATTGAGAAATGAAGTCGGGTCCGGCTAAGGAGTTTGGATTTTAATGTAAAGACTGTGAAGACCAACTGAAAAATTTTAAGAAGAATAATAACATTAGAAGTTGATTCTCATTTAAGAGGGCAGCTGGCATATTCTTTATGTGCCATATAGTATTTCTACCCATGCATGTACATTGTATCCTACTTCTAGTGCTATTAAAGTTTTAATGGGATTAAAAAATGTCACAGCTAAAACAAGGCTGCTTCATTCTGGCAGCCAGCATAGACAGTTGCAGTATTTCCCTTGTCTTCCCCTATCGACACAGATTTCTCTTGCAGAAGGCTTTTCAGTTTTCTGAAATTGATTTCAAAAATGGGGTAGTTCTCAGACACTCTCAAAGATATGTGCCTCCACTCACCTCCCTGAAAAGAACTGAGGAGGGGAGGGAGGACGGGTGGAACAGTTCTATTTCTTTTCTATCTTTGTTTCTCTAAGAAGACATTAGTTATTTTACAGGAGAGAGCTGAAGAGAAGGGCCATATAAGGAAACTAAATAGTTTCGCCAGGACATGAGTAGAATGAGTGCATAATAATGTATTTGCCAGAAACGTACTCTGTGTCAAGACTCGTTTTGGTAAACTTGTTTCCTTTCATTGGTTCCGGGATCTAGTATGCTGTAATGCAGCTTTTTACCACCATGAAACATTCTGGGGCTGCCTCGTTTTGTTGTGAGAAGGCAGTATTGCTTTCTGAGTTATTGCCCTGGCGGCTCTGTAAATTAGCCCATGCTGTCACCATGCCCTCTCTGAAGGGCACATTGTACCCAAATGACTGCATTTAGGATTGACTCTTGCCACTCCCTGCTTCATGACACTTCTCACCACTTGTATCTGTGTCCAGTTTTTTTCTGTGTGTTCTTAAGTGTGGGCCACCCACAGATTGCCACCCAGGCTCTTTAGCCAGAGAAACTTGGTAAGGCTTCTGATCCAAACCCACCTTAATTCTAGAATTGCCCTTTCATTTCAAGCTCTAAATATTGTCTGGCTCCCCCACACCATTCCCTCTCTTTTTTCTCATTTGCTCTTGCCAGACTCCTTGTTTCTTGAGGCTTCACTTTGGCTTCTACCCCTCTCTTATTTTTTTTTTTTTTAAATACTTAAAAGTTCCTCATTGCTAGTCCTACTTTAACTTCTTTCTTTTGGTCTTTCAGGCTTTCTTAAGGTGGTTCTTTCACATCTTTTACTAGACTGCTCTTGAAGAATGGAAAAACCATGTTGTTTAATATCTGCTTTGGATCATGCAAATCCAAAGTGTCAAGCAGTTGTTGAATGCTAGTTCTGTTCATTCCTGGATAAGATACTTTAGAGACTGCAAGAGCTCAGAGGTTACCATTTTGGAGTGGCAGGACATGCACCCTAAATAAATAGCATTATGTAGCAGTGGAGATGATGCTTACATGAGGGGTAGACAGGAACTTAATAATCAGAAAAGTACCAGGATAATCATAACGGGCAACATTTTATAGTCCTTTGTGAAAAACAACAGAGGATTTAATGCAAGAAAACAGGCTGAGGGACAGTTCGCCATTTTAGTGGATTTTATTCAACTGTTTGAATGTCACTCATCATTTATACAGTCATGGTATAGGTAATCTATTAAGTGAACCCTTAGTGGAGTTATTTCTGTCCTGTCTTAAGAATGAGAATACTGACAAGAAAGAAGCAGGTACCACGGACTATTCCAAAAGGTACTTTATGGGATATATATTGGATTAGCATGAATTCAGCTCCATTTTATGTGTGCTCAATTTTGGCACAATGGGGAAGCAGGATGCTTTGAAACAGCACAAGTTGGGAGGCAGAGGGCTCTGGATTCAAACTTTGTCTAAAGGCACTAACCTTAGGTGAGGAACTCCTCCTTTGAGAACTTGTTTCCTCATCTTTACAATGAGCTACCGCCTACCTTAAAGGGTTGTTTTTGTTTGTTTGATTGATTGATTGATTGATTGATTGCAAAAAGAGTACAAACTGGGGAGAGGGGGAGGGAGAGAGAATCCCAGGCAGGGATTTGACGATCCCACAACCCTGCGATCATGACCTGAGCCAAAATCAAGAGTCAGATGTTCAACCAGCTGAGCCACCCAAGTGCCCCAAATGTTGTTTAAGGCTTTTATGAAATGCTGCATGGGCAGCTCCTAGTATTTGGACATACAATAAACTCACACAAAACAGAGTAACTCACATTTTTTGAGCACCCACTGTGTGTCAGGAACTGTTCAAGTATGTTAAGAAGTATTAACTCTTAATCCTCATAGTAACTCTATGAGATAGGCACGTTTATTCCCATTTTACACATGAGGAAATGGAGGCAGAAAAGTTGAGTAACTTGTTCAAAATCACAGAGTTAGCAAGTGACACAGAGCCAAGGTATAAATCTTGACAATTTGGCTTCAGTGCCTGTAGTCTTAGCCACTATGCTATCTTGCTCTTGGCTCTGTATTAGTTCACACTTCGATACTGCCCAGTGATGATTGATGTTCGTTTTTATAAGTGAAAGTACAACTAGTTGTTCGGTTCCCAGATTGTGAGATGTGAAGGCAATCTTAATGTTTATCTAACTCAACCACTCATCTGCTGCTTGAGTCCTTTCTACAGCATCCCTGCCAAGTGGTCTTGAATCTATAAACAAAGATTCCATTATGCTCAGTATACTGTGCTTACTAAATTACCAAGTTAGATAAGTGGACTAATAAATGTTAAGAAGAATTTAAAGAGAGGCTGGAATAAAATAAAGTTTTCTGATTAATTTTAGATCACCAGGAAGCTCGTCTAAATAGAGCCTGGTTCCCTAAGCAGTGCATTTAATTGGTTTCAGTTTAAATC